TCAGCCGTAGAATTGGAAACTGTCAAAGTTGCTGCTTTGCATCCGAGTCATGGTAATTCTATAGAGTGGCTCGCTTCGTATTCATCGACCGAAATGCGTGAGATGCAGATGAAAGACGATAACATCTCTTGAACTCTTGTTTTTCTCCAGGGAAGTTCGAATCCTGTGCAGCCAGTGGAAATTATTGAGAGTCATCGATGGAGTGCTTTATCGCGAGTTTTTGCCATCCGCGCCTGTAGGGAAATCCATTTTTCCAATTGTGTTGCCTTTAATTTTGCGTCGCGAAATGTACCGACAACTTCATGAGTTGCGTACTGGTGGACATTTGGGTAAAGAACAAACGTATAAAAAATTGAGGGAACGATTTTATTGGCCTAGAATGCACAGTCAAGTATCTTCTTGGTGTCGTTATTGTAAAGCTTGCACTGCTACCAAAACCCCTCATGGGAAACGACGTGCAGAAATGTGTAAAATGATTTGCACTGAGCCACTTCTCAGAATTAGTTTTGATTTTGTGGGTTCTTTACCTAAAACTGAACGGGGCAATGAACATTTGTTAGTAGTCACAGACTATTTTACTAAATGGGTTGAGGCTTATCCTTTGCCTAATCAAAAGGCCAGTACAACAGCCGATGTACTTGTAACGGAATTTTTTAGTAGATTTGGTACTCCACGAATTATTCATTGTGACCAAGGGGTTAATTTTGAATCTCATTTGTTTAAGCATATGTGTTCCTTATTTGAAATTGATAAAACCCGTACGACTCCTTATCATCCTAGGTCGGATGGTCTGACTCTATGTGATAGAATGAATGAGACCTTGCAGCAAATGCTTAAAGCATTTGTGGATTCTAGTCGTACAGACTGGGATGAGCACATTCCTTATCTTTTAATGGCTTATAGATCTACTGTAGGCCTACATGAAAGTACAGGTTTTACTCCGAATAGTTTAATGTTGGGACGTGAAATTTCATTGTCGACTGATTTACTTTTTGGTAAACCTCCTGATCATAATGTCCCTAAGTGTTAAGATGAATTTGTTGAATGGTTTGATAATGCTACATCTGAAGCTTTTGAATTTTCCAGAGAACAGTTAGGTAAATCTGCTGTTCGACAGAAACGTAATTTTAATGCAACTGTTAAGTCTTTATCTTTTAATATTGGTGATCTTGTGTGGTATTTTTATCCTCCTAAGAATAGAAAACTTTCGACTGGTTGGATAGGTCCTTTTGAAGTGTTAGATTGTTTTTCACATTTTGTATATCGTATCAAGAATGTTAAAACTGGTAATTGTAGAATAGCTCAGGTTGATCATCTTCGTTTATATTTGATGGAAGATTTTGACAGTTTGTCTGATATTAATGCTGATTTGCCTGACAATATTGCTGTTTCCAATGATGATGTACAGGATGTTGTTATTCCTGTTGAAATTGAACCAGAAGTAAACTTCAATCCTGATTTGCCTGTTAGGGATTCTGATCATCAGACTGTAACTCGTTCTGGTAGGACAAGGCGTAGACCTGCTTACTTGGATGATTTTCATACTTGATTTATGCTCTGTAACATTTTGTTTTTGTATACAATGGGAATTGTGCTATGATGTAAATATTTAGGTAGGACTAGTTAGAATTTTTTGTATTGCTATTGTGTATTTTGTATATAGTATGATGTGTATTTGCCATACTTTCAGGAATGCTTTCTACTGTTTTAGTATTTTGTTTTACTGTGTTTTATATTTTGCTAATACCTGCTGATTGACAATTTGTGTTTTTCACAAGTTTTGTATTCTTACTGTGTTTAATACCTTTCTTCGGGGATGTTTTTATTTTTTGAGAGTAAATTTTTTGTGAATTTTCTTTAAACAAAAGGGGGGTATTGTGGCGGGACTGGAATTGTCCTATTTTTTATTGTTTTGTAATTTATTTAAATTTAGTGTCTAGTTATGGCATATGCATTGGTGTGTGGAGTCTGAACCCTAATTCGCCCAATAGTTAGATTCAGTTACCAGACTCCAACCACCACTGCATATGGTCAGCCTCTTCTCGCTTCTGCTGTCGCTGGGTGAGAACCGTATTTTGTCGCTCTTATTTTATCTGCGGATTTTACACCATTTTAATAAAGTCTCTTCGTTTGCATCGTGAACTTCGAACCTATTTGTGTGTCTTTGCAACACACTGGATCTTCTGAACTAATTATTACAGTATTATTGGACTGTATTAGTGGCGAGCACCTACCCGTATTCCGGTTAAGTCGTACTGTTGCACAAGTCCGAGTCTCTCAAAGCCCTCATTATTTATCGATCTCGATTCTCGATCGGTAGGACCTTTCCCCGAGCATCGACTTCCTTGTTTACTTCGTGACATTGGCCAATCAGCAAGATGTAAAAAGTGACGTAACAATGCCCCCTTCTCGCATCCGCTCAGACACTTTTCTCACTCAGACAGATTTTCAAGCGTGGTTGTAAACATTACCTCGTTTTCGCGTTTTTGAACTCTATTCGTTAGTTTTTAGATGGGTTTCGGAAACTTGAATATAAATCAGATAATTCAATCATCACTCTGTTTTCCTAGGAGTTTTAATTTAATTGCAGTAATAAAAATTAGTGTAGAAATAGCTGTGATAAACTAGCCTGAAATTCTTTACCGGTACTTTTAAAAAACAGATTGTTGTATGCGATGAATCATATTGAGGGTTGAAAACACATACCCCATTTTACAGGCACCAACTCGCAAAAGCACTCTTAAAATAGCCCTGAAAATTTTGCAATGGTAAAGTATAGGAAGAATTTTCCGGGGGTCAAAGGTCGGGGAAAGGTCCATTTGTCTGTCTGTTTGGCACTTGCTGAAACCGCCTCGCATTTGTTTTCGTTTATTTCACACTCGACTAATTTTGTGATTTGCGTATTCTGCGATTGCAACATAACCTCACACATTGATGTTGCCATGTTTCTAGTATTGTTTTGTAATTATTTCTAGGTTTGTATTGGGCATATTTAATGCTGCTCAAGTAGGGTTTAGTACTAGTGTAATTTATGATATTTTTCTGATGACAACCTACCCCGATTTGCAGACTGTTAACAAATTAGAACATAGAATTATGCTAATTTGTCCTGTGTTGCTAGGCCAGCTCTCTTTGTGTTGTTGCTCATTTCTGGCAACGCTCGTTCTTTCGCTCGCTGCTTTCCTGGCGGGAATGTTGGCAGTGATTATATGCTCTCCAGTTTTGTTAGATTTTTAGTTGTTTAAGGTCTCAAGGAACCGGGTTTTTAAGTCATATATTTAGTAAAAGTTACCTTTGAATCTTTCCCAGCTCTATTCGCGTTTAGATGTTCGTTATTCTCAGTAGGCTAGGAAAACAGTTGCAAGGAGTTATTTCATGATATTTTGTGTGTTTATTTGTTAGATCTGATCAAATATAGAGCTAGTTAAAATAATAGCTTCCAGTCAAATAATTGGTTGTTCTTTGAGTTGAAGGCTACATCGTCAAGTAAGTCTTTGATTTATCGTATTTTATGTTTTATTTAGTGATTGAAACTGCAATTTGAAGGTAAACAATTGTGCTGTATTTTTGGCTTTTTCGATTAATTTGTGATTCTAAATTGATAAATATTGTGCTTTTTAAGTGTTAATTAGTTAGATGTTTGGTAAGTTTTATTGTGTGACATATTTTGAGACTTTTTTATTTCTGTTTAGAAAACCGTACTTCGTACTACGTACTTCGTACTATCGTGCTACATTCAATCGTACGTACACTGCATTTTAAACGTATCTTTTTCGTGACAACAAGAAATTTCAAAAGGCAGTTTGTACGCGTATTTTTATTGTGGAGTCTCGAAACGATTCAGAGAGCAACCGTCCGTTAACGCGTGTTGGCGCTAGATAGCGACTCCGATTTGGCGCCTACACTTGCGTTAGTTTCGTATGTTACGCAATATCTCACAAAAGCCAGGTTGAATCTGCTCCGAATTTTAAGTGTTCATTCATCATGTCTCGGACCATATTGCCCATTGATTTTGGATGAAATAGGTCGTATAATTAGCGAGTTATTAATTAATTAGTGATGGGACACGCGGTGTCGCTATTGAGTCGGAGCGAAGGATATACGCCGCTAGATCGGTAAGTCGGCGGTCTCCTATCGCTATCTCGTTTAAAAATTGTTGCTTTTGCCACTGTTTAGTTTTCACCAGAGATTGGTTTGATGGCGATGAAATATTATTTATATAATATTTCACATACGTGCAATGGAGGTGTCACATTACTGCGAGAGTATGTCAGACAATAGTTTGTCGGACAATAAAAAAATGAGAACCCATCGTAACACGACACTTATTAACTGTGTTGAGAGATAATTGTGGCGGAATTTAGCTTAACGATGTCGGTGGACTAAAATGACAATCACGCTGACGATAAACAGTCACGATTTATAACAAAAATTAGTCGTGTCATATATCATGTCTGAGGTTTGTGGGCGCTCATAACGAATTAAGGCATTTACAGGTAAAATATATCCCTACTAAAGAAATTTTCTATATACGAAGGAGCTTCCGGAACGAATTAATTTCGTAGGTAGAGTTTCCACTGTACTATATTCTAATACTGAGTGAACCGGTAGGCAGTTAATCATACCACGTCACGCTTGGAAGATTTGCAAACACATCGATCGGACTAAGTTACCGGCACCGAATGTTTACTGTCTGTGTACACTTGCGCTATCTGCATTTTTCTGTGGTCCAATTATCTGATGGCATAAACAGAGAATATATCAAGTTCTTTCGCCTTCGTGAAGTATTAGATGGATAGCGATACGCGATGCAAGCGTCGGTCAGCAAATATACATACAGATAGGATTACCGCAGTCAGACTATGATGTTTTTAAATTTATACCGAATTTGATACAGAAGATTGAAGTTCTAATAGTGTAGCGACGCAGACTACGATCAAAGCTATGTTTTTATCACTGTTCTTGCTGACTTTGACCCACGCTCGTTTTTAATGTTACAGGTATATGTTAAAAACTTATGTTCATGTAGCGTAAGTTCGATTCTATCATGAGCTCAACCTGCAAATATTTTTCAATATTACTGGTTGTTTTGTTCGGGATCTGCTTAATAAGAACATTCGTAATTGTCAATTTATCCAAAAAGAAACTTCCGAAATGCTCGAAAAATGAGAACCATGCATTTATCGAGGTTGATTGGAAAAGATGGGAAAGATTTAAAGATACTTTACGAATGGAAACAATTTCTTATGAAGCAAATGAACAAAACAAAGACGAGTTGAAGAAGCTCGTAGAATATATAATCCAAGGTATGAAAATATTCTTAAATAATAATTACTACCTTCATAAGAACACTGTAGTCGTATTTGCGAAATTCTCTCTGTTTTTGTACAATTGACGACATATTGAGTGGGCGGTGGTAGACGTGTGGACTATTTTTCTCTCACATTCTCACGTTTAGAATATATATTTTGCGCGATCGTAGGCTATCTGCATATTTATACAGTACTTTGCTATGCGACGGTGGATGGGTTGAAATTAAGAAACATACATGTTTTGCGAATATAATTCAGCTGTCGGCGAGGCTACGCAAATAATATGGCGTATTGAGTAACATTAGTCTGCTTACCACGTACATACAATGTGTACTGATATACCTATATGTTGTTAAAAGATGTACGTACACTGCACAATGAACGGATGCGCGATAACAATATACATTTTTGATCGATTTTTGTCATTATCATGCTATTATTAGGAGACATGACCTTTGGTTACAATCAGGGAGAGACTTAGTTTAGACGATGTGAGGCCTCAGCTAGACTATGCCATTTACGAAGCCCCTTCTGTAACAGTGACGTCATAAAACTTTGTTATGAAGTCATGATAGACTTTCCCGTTAAATGTAAAATATATTATAACGATGTAAATAAGTTTTCAAACTGCATGAAAATGCGAGATTTTAGTTGCAAACAGGATACTTACGCTAACGACAAAACTAGATTGGATAGGATAGTGAGACATTTTTCGAAATAAACAGGTCTGCGATAAAAAAAAATTACAAAGGTAAAAAATACAATATTTCTTAAAATTCGAATAGTTGGGACATGAATTATTATCCTGATTAAAATAGTAAACAAATATATATCAGTTCAATAAAATTCAAACCGGTTTTATTCTGAAACAAGACTTCACCATTTAGAAACGACTCTGAAATGAAAAGTTAAAAATGGAATACCGGTCCATAAGGCTAGAGGCCCTTATTCTTCAGTCTACCTGGCCTAATGATAAATCCCGGCTCTGGTTACGATGTATTATTATACTTGAATACTATACCTTTCACATTATTTATAGCACACCCGACGATATTCAAATCCAAGCATGTACAATATGAAATAGTAAATGGGTACAGCCTTCTCATTCACGTACAAGGAAGAGACAAATCACTTCTACCTTATCTACTTGCCGCTCATCTCGATGTTGTTCCTGTCGTTGAACATGAGTGGTCGGTTGATCCTTTTAGTGCTATCGAAAATAAGGATGGAACGATAGTCTATGGAAGGGGAACACTGGATGATAAAGGGTCTTTGATGGTATGCATGATAAATATTTGATTGGAGTATATTTTTGAGAGAATTTACTTAAAGCAAGGTTACGTGCAATCATTCAGAAGCCTAAAAGGACTCTGAGCGGCGATTTTTCATGCGGCGAATTTTCCTATGCTTCGAAATTTCCTAGAACCATTAGGTAGTGAATTCCACATGCATAAAATTTAAAAAACTCGAAAAAGTTATTCCGTGCCATCGATGAACTCCGGGTCTATATTTAAACTCTTCGAAACTTTAGAACAATTTGTCGTAGTAATTTGGCGGATGTACTAGATTGAATATACTTTAGATCAGGGCTTCCCAAACTAGAGGCCGCGGCCCTACAAGAGGCCGCAAAACAAATTTTAGGGGCCGCAAAGAGAACACCAATTTTACACAAGTACTACATCTGTTGTACTTTTTTAGACTCGATTCGAAACTCTTAAAACTAGTTTTAAACAAAAATCTCACAATTTCGAGTGAATGGTCTATTGTTACGTAACAGTAGAGGTAAAACTTTACTTGCTGCAATTTCGTGGGCTGCAGTTTATTCATTTGCTTACCTGATTTTAGCTAACATGGGTGATTTTATTTAGCATTCTAAAGAAATATCAGGCACTGATAAGGAAGAGAAGTTGAACTTTTTGCCTTTATTCTTCAGGCCTACATGTTCATAAACTTTAAAAGACATAAAGTATACATTAACGATCACAAAATTGTGTTTCCATTAAATGCAAATTTGCTGGTTTAGGACCATGCCGTCGATGGTCAGACATCGTAAGTCATTATAATTAAGGCCTGCATTATCAAACATTGAGCCAAGACTAGACTCGCTGTGCGGCAAAGAGCAGTCGCACCCATCCCACTGAATAATTGAGTTAGGTTCATCTGAATAAACGCGTGTTTATTTTGTTATCGATTAGGCCCACTAAAAGATGTGTCACTGTGTCATTCAAATATCAAAAATGTATTTTTCGAACTGTTTAGCATTACTAACATAAACAGGGACCGCGAAAAATTTCAAGATATTGAAAGGGGCCGCGAGCTCAAAAAGTTTGGGAAGCCGTGCTTTAGATAATATGCTTTTTGATAATTACAACATCACAGGCTCAACTTGCTGCACTGGAATACTTTTTGGAAATAGGATTAGTGCCGCAGAGAAGTTTTTACATTGCACATGGCCATGATGAGGAGGTTAGATGATTTTTTTTATTTAATACGTATTAAGTATAACAGTGTCAACAACTTTTACATACCGATAATTTCGTTATGCAACATCTGTGGGACAAAAATGTATTTCTTGTAGAAAATCAACTTCAGATTATTCGTTCTTGTCATTCAAAATTGGAAGGTACTCAAAACTAAATATTAATTTCCATAAAATAAGCATAAGTTGTTTTGAATGTTATGTATCTGAAAAATGTCAAATTTCTCTATAATAACAGTAACAAACGAATCTAGATTTGACTGCGACAATTAATTTCACCACCTCACTTTCTCCATTAAATGTGTAAAGATTTCCGGATATCAAGGTGCAAAACATATTGCAGCAACATTAAAGAAAAAAGGTGTCGATCGTTTGCATTTTGTACTAGACGAAGGTCTCGTCGTGACGAGGGGCTTGTTTGGGAGTATGGACCAGGACTTGGCATTGTAAGTTATTTTAACTAATAATGATGTGTGGGTGAAATACCAAACGTCAACTATAGCAGCTTTATGTGAGCTAGCTTTTTTCAAATCATAATTCAGTTGTCCATGACAATATGCTAATTTGAAATGATGCTGAAACATTTCATTTATATCCAAGCTGTTACTTTTCCCCAGTAGGGTAAGAGTAATTATCAAATTTTTAAGTAAGGCGTGATATAATTGTTCAACTGTCGGATTGATTCAACTAATTACTATACCCATGAATAATAACAACACAATATTATTCAATAATCGCCGATGCTCCTTTTTGTAACTACCATATAAATATGATGACAAACCTTGCTAAATGTGAGGTGAATTAATGTGAACGTATAAACGTTGATATACTGACCCATTCGAATGAAAATTCCGTTGCAGAGTTGGGGTCACCGAAAAAGGCATTGCGTTTTTGAATCTAAGTGTTGAAATTCATGGTGGACATTCATCTATGCCAGCAAAAGAAACAGCGATCGGAATTATGTCTGGAGCAATATCAAGGTATTTAAAAAAGTCGGTCACGTGTTAGCAGTGGTTTTCTTGTCGAAAGCGAACCCTTACCCTAAATCATATTTCCTGAATTGAACTTAGAAGCTTTTATGTGAATCCTGCTATCAAGTTGATCATTGAGTTTGATTTTCATATCGTGTGAGTTTTGCAGTCGGATGATTATTTCTGCGTGCGCTTTAGAAATCCAACCCGAAAAGCGATCCAGACTTCGATATTATCATAATGAATGTGCCGAAGGTGAATGTGTTAGATACGTTTCATGGAATGTATGTTGCGGCTTCAACCCCTGACCCTGCTATCTTTCTTTATAGACTTCAATCAAATCAAATGCCGGGTAGAATTGACAACCTCATGACAGAAATGTTGGAATCATTGGCACCTGAAATCGGCTTTCCGACTAACATTGTTTTAAGTAACATATGGTTATTCAAGGTGAATAATACTTCATAAGGTTTGCTCTAATGATTCATGACGTACCTCTTCTGTGAGAAATAAGCATTCGGTGCACTTGCTCTTCGCTCTGCTCTTTTTTATGACGACGACATTCTATTTTATACTTCTTCCTGAGAATTTATATTCTATGAAATTTAGTTTACGGTCATTGTTTTCTTGGCAGCATTGGGGTAATCAAAATTTCTCGACACCTTCTAATAAATTTTCATTCAGCTAATGTCACTGTATAGGCTTTTCAATTCTTCTATTGGTTATTTGTTAAACTTATATATGGGAGCGTGTGGAATTTGGTCTCGCTTACATATAAAATCAATAAAATATTGAATGCAAGCCCTCCCCCTTTTTTTCACTTTTTGTACTTGTTTTACAGAAGCTGATCCGATTTAATCAGTACAAGCCCCGACCCGATATTAGAGTTACAGTATTCAGTGAATTACACGGGGTTAATCGTTTGACGTCGCGTGTCGTTTTTCTTTTTCAGCCACTTTTATGTTGGCTGTTGTCAAATAATCAGATGCTGCAAGGCGGAGTGAGAACTACGACTGCCGTTACAATTATGCGAGGTGGAATGAAGGGCAATGTTATTCCCTCATCTGCTTCGGCTATTGTTAATCACAGAATACATCCTTGGGATTCACTGGATGATGTGAGTGATTGTGTTCATAGAAAACGAAGTATAATATTTTTGGCAACTATTTCTTTTTTTTTAATTTTCATGCCACTTAGTAACTTCAGTAAGCCCGCCCAGGGTGGAATATGGTCTAGTTTTGTATTGAGATATGCAAATAGTTTTAATATTCGATTCGCAGGTTCTGCAACACGATCAACGAATTATAAACGACGATAGAGTGAGAATAACTGTGTTGCACGAAAGTGAACCTCATCCTATATCACCATTTAGTCGATCATCATCAATCACTTATCAACTTTTAACGGATACAATAGAACAAATCTTTGATAACGTGATAATCGGACCTGGTAAGAAGACAGGGTTACTGTATAACTATATATTATTGCTATTTTCTTTTCTACTGCTATTTTCAACTCGCTAGATATATATAGTATGTTATACGTACGAACATCGTTGTAACAGGTCGTTTTTTCAGAGATTCGTTATCAATTAATTGAAGACATACGCATAAATATCGGTTCCATTATCTTTGAACCCGCGTACATTTGAACCCGTACATCTGAACCCGTAATTTGAACCCAGGACAATTGCACCTGTATACTATTGCACCTATGGACATTTGCACCTACGGACATTTGAACCCATACATTTCCACCCATGGATTTTAGCACCCGCATATAGATTGAACCCGCGGACATTTGAACCCGTGTACGTTTGCACCCGCGTACATTTGAACCCATGTACATTTGCACCCGCGGACATTTGAACCCGTGTACGTTTGCACCCGCGTACATTTGAACCCATGTACATTTGCACCCGCGGACATTTGAACCCACGAACATTTGCACCCGCGGACATTTGAACCCATGTATATTTCCACCCACAGACATTTGAACCCACGTATATTTGAACCCGCGTACATTTGAACCCACGGACATTTGAACCCGCGTATATTTGAACCAACGTATATTATATTTGAACTCGCTTAATTTGAACCCGCGTACATTTGAACCCACGTACATTTTCACAAAAAATGTTTGCCCCAACGGCAATTTCCAGTCGCAAATAATTTTCATGTTACAGGCGCAAGCTCAATATTCTAAATTTCAACACTGTTTCACTTGTAGTTAGTTTTGGTGTATATGCATTTATCCGCTTCTACGAAGCAAGCATTTTTGAGTGTCATTGTAGTCCGAGGGATAAACGTCTCTTAACGATATAAACAACATTGTTCTGCCAAAGTCTTTTTTCTTTTACTGTTTTTTTACATTGACATTTGTAAAACCTTATTTCATTCGTTAGCCGCGATCTCCAAAACAGACGATGACCTAGAAAGCGGTATTTCGTTGAAATACCTGAAACCAGGGCTAATACGGAACAAATATCTCACAGACCAATGAAGTCTTAAATGAGGGTCTTACTAAAACTAGCTTTACAGTAATATTTTTAGTGGTCAACTCCTATAAATTTGTTCTGAAATTATTGCACCGAAAACACCTACTATGATATCCCGCCCAGCATGAGATTTGGGAGCTCTGTGGCCACTTCATGTTTTCTTGCTAGCATGTTTACAAAATTGTTATATGTATGCATACACGACCACGCTTTACTGTTGAAAATGAGTGTTGTCTCAAATCAGGTTTTGACATTTTCCCTAAAATCAATCTATAAATTGAATACTATTGTCTGTATATAAATAAATAAACTCACAGATTCTTCGTTTCTAAGAAAATATGAAATTAAGATAATGAAACTATGCCATTTTTGTAACAACATGTTCATAGCCAAATGCCAGTTTTATTGAAGTATTGTTTCATTAGAATGTCAGAACAAAACTATACATAGAAATCGTAAGTCATGTAAATATGTTGAATATTCGAAAGTGAAGAAGTTTTAAAATCATTATCGTGGCCAAAAATGTTTTTTGCTGTTTACACTATTTAGAGTGAATCGAACATATTCAGCATATAGGGTCTGTTAAATATGATATTGCAATTTACAAACGACGTCATAGGTTACGGATTACATTTATTTTAATATCTCAATAAAGTTATCACTCACAAATTTGTGTCGAATGGGCGATCAATTTTGAGATAGAGTAGCTATGGACGTTTTACAAAATAGGAATTTATCAATTATGATACAATAGTTAAACAACAAATCAAAGTAATGACGATAAACGAAATTTTACGATATCACGATCAAAATCAAATAGACTGCATTTGAGCTATTGAGTGGAGATACCTCAGCTTGTCGGTTTCAGTTCCATATGAAAAAACCTAACTGTCAACCTAACGGCAAGTTGTACATACTTTGATCTTTGGTGGGCCGTAACTCCTACATGAGCATTTGCCGCAGTCAGTTTGTGGACCGCAATGTCTTTTCGTAGGCCATTCAGCAAACCCCATATATATACTCGGATGTTTGCATCGGAACATTCCTTGTAAGGCGTTGTGAAATCCTTCTACAGCGTTTGTTGTTCTTGGGGCCGAAGGCACCATTTCAATCTCTTTGGCATAGTTCCACAATCGAGGGGGAAATCTTGTTTCTCTTGGACGTGAACCCACTTGAGGTCCACGAATGTAGGTAGATTCAAAATATTGCAAAAGTTGATTGCATTCGGGCAAATCTTCAAAGGTGTCGCAAAGCAAGGGGAAGACTTCGGCAACCTCGTTAATGGGAACAAAAGCCAGAGCTGCCAAACTTCTAATTTTCAGATTGAAAGAAGGTAAACATTCAAACTTCTCTTTTAATCCGATAGAACCAACTTTTCGAAATAGCTTGTGACAGGTGAAAATAACATTCTTTAAAATCGGCCAGAGGAAAATGTGCATGGAATGCATTGATAGCTGCTATTTCAAAATCAACAATGATTTTGGTGGGGTTAGCATTTGGGAAAATGATTTTCAACGCTTCCAACTTCTGAACGTATGTTTCTTGTCGCTTGTCTCGTAATAGGAAATATACGCATGGTGGATAGGATGCGCCCACTTTACAGTGAATTGTATACAACTGGAAGAAAATATCGGACACCACATCAAATGTACCGTCGCCAAGATATGGGTCACTATCTAGATGTGCAAGTAGTGATCGATCTCCAATGGCCATTATCCGATGACGATCCTCCGAGCCAGTGTCATGCAAAATGATATCTAAATATTCGCTCGGAATATCAAAGCTTGCACTTGTAGGATTCGTACGTGAACAATTTTTCTGTCGCCTTACTCTGCGTATATTGGCCTCCAGAGTCGACTTGCCTGGCAAGCGCATTACTACATCTGTTGATCTATTATTCAATACTTCACCTAAAATATATCTTGTCGATGTATTTGATGGTGTTGATGCTGCTTCTTTTAATGTTGCACGGATGATCCCAACTTCAGTCTTAATGCTGTCGCCAGAATGACTGTGATATCCTAGTTCTTTTATTACATTTTCACCGATTGTAACAACAGTCGATTTACATCGAAATTTCCTAAACTGACGGCAGCGCCAATGAGTAGCATCTGAAACCCGATCATTTCGCTTACAATATTCGTGGCCTTTGTAAATCAGTAAGTCGTTTCCTCTTGTGGTCTTGGAAAATGTAGGCGCCATGTTTCCAACTTATTTTCGCAAAGGGACTTGTCATCTTCGCAGCTGCAACGTCCTAAAGAAACAGTTTGGAATTGTCTGCGAGGGGAAAAGGGCATTGATGCGAGGAAAAACTTTGCGCGGGATCGAACTAACACATCAATTAAAATCCTTGCTCGCGCTCTTCAAGAGTCGTCGACCGTTCAAAGCACAAATCATACTCCCCAATTTTGGCTCGCATTCTACAGCGGAACATTTTGTCCATTGAGTCTTATGATATCGACAATTGCGATGACAATGACAGACGGAGTATAATATAAATATATAATATAATTTAAATATATAGAAAATAGTTGTAATAAAGCCTTCGAGTATATAATTGAGAATTCCATGGTGTTTTCGCAACGTATGCATTTGGACAAAAAATCCTAAGTGTACCTTCCAATCCTATATACTATAGTATATAGCATGGAAGGATAAGGGTGTATATGTAAAGACGCATATATCCGTAAATGCAAATGCCCATGGGTGTAGATGTTCATGGGTGCAAATGTCTGTGGGTACAATTGTACGCGGGTGTAAATGTATGTAGGTTCAAATGTACGCGGGTTCAAATGTACGTGGGTTCAAATGTCCGTGGGTGCAATTGTACATGGGTTCAAATGTCCGCGGGTGCAAATGTTCGTGGGTTCAAATGTACATGGGTTCAAATGTCCGCGGGTGCAAATGTACATGGGTTCAAATGTACGCGGGTGCAAACGTCCACGGGTTCAAATGTCCGCGGGTGCAAATGTACATGGGTTCAAATGTACGCGGGTGCAAACGTACACGGGTTCAAATGTCCGCGGGTTCAATCTATATGCGGGTGCTAAAATCCATGGGTTGAAATGTATGGGTTCAAATGTCCGTAGGTGCAAATGTCCATAGGTGCAATAGTATACAGGTGCAATTGTCCTGGGTTCAAATTACGGGTTCAGATGTACGGGTTCAAATGTACGTAGGTTCAAATGTGCTGTCACCATAAATATCATGTACACAAATCTTAGACCCACGCATTGGACCTCCTGAGGTATGCGCACCAAGATGGCGCACAACTCAGGTTGTGTACCAGATTATGGTTCAGTTGTGCGACATCTTGGTGCGCATACTTCAGGAGTACCCACGCATTACTATAGTTTACAACATGGCAACTGAAACACCACAATTTATACAATAACTACATCGCTATAAAATATTTATCTTTTTGATTCCTGGTATCCAACTCAAGTCGTATAATTTACGAAATATTATTTGGTACTGTTCAGTATTCCCTATCCATAATTTTGTTTCAGCTGCCTTAGTGGCGAACACCGACACAAGGCATTATCTAACATTTTCGGAAAATATTTATCGTTTTAATCCTATGGTCTTAACAAAAGATGAAATAGCCAGGTAAGAAGTTTACTGTTTTTAGTAATGGAAAGTAAGCCTTTTCGTTGTGTCGTAAAGCACCCAACAAACTAGATAGTAACGGGTCTCATTGCTAAAATAATGTTATTTTGTAGTTAGTTCTTGGTGGTATTGTAATCTATCATTTTGTATTTCAGCATCCACGCAAAGAATGAAAGAATAAGTCGAGATAATTTTGAAAAAATGATCAACTTTTATTTTCATCTAATGATTAATTCAGACAGAACAAAACTACGCGAAATAACGGACAAAAAAGGAGAACTTTAGAATATTTATGAAAACAAATATATATTTTTTCTCTCCAATTTTATTTATGCTATTTTTCAAACTTCAACGCATGTTTTAAATTGAGAATTTGCCATCTGTACTCATTTCATTTTAAATCATAATTTGAAGTAAAAATCTTATGAACAATCAAATAGTAAGTCACGCCAATAATTGCAGGTCAAGTTTAGTTGAATAGTATTGTTTGCCTCGCACTGGTATATTGGAAATTTGGACGTTTCACGCTTAGTATAAGATATAATAGTCATGCCATAAGAAAAACCTAAATAGACTTGATCATAACCTCCATTCCAATAGCATATTTCCTATATTATTGACTGCATCTTCTGTAAAATTCTCGAGTAAAGATGAAGATTAACTGAAGAGCTCTGAGCTGGTCAGTGTACACTAGGGTCGGCGAACAACTCGAAAAACTCACCAACAATCAAAAATAAAACAAAATTAGTGAATTTTTAAATGGCGCCCCATGTTAATAAATTCATTGCGATTATAAGCAATGCTTTCGTTCCAATACTCCATGTGCAACACTCGCAAGTCTTTTCACTTTTCAATATGCGATAAATTCGTTTAGCAGATCGATGGACGCCCGCGGATGCTGCGTGACTTAGCGAATAACATGGTGGCACTTTTAGTGTAGTTATGTACTAGAAATGAATCATTTGATGGATTTGAGAAGTCATTATTGGCTGGCCTTTTTTGCGCGCGCTATTTTGTGAACCGCGAAAGGAGCGAACCATGCTTATACAAATTTCGCTTTGATTCTAAATTTTGTGAAGATCAATTTTGGTGCTTCAGAGCCCGCTGAATAGTGGGAATAATTTTGAGGAAATTATATTGAATTCACCCCTTTCTCCCAAAAAGGATAATAATGGTTTGTATTTTTTAATTGCAACTAAGGATTTCAAGTATGACTACTTACAAGTATTCGATTCCTCGACATAGCTTACCGAGAAAAAATACTCACTTATTAATTAACGCCCTGCCATACCTCAATCACGTCTCAAACATTATTTTATATGTAATTTGTGAAGCGAACAATACTTAGCAGTCACCGAAGCCTGAATATTAAATAAGTGCGTACTGTTATGTCGACTGGTCCAAAATGTAGATTGAATTGGTTCAATACTCTCGAAATTCGTATGTAGAAAAACTACAAATCACATTTGGTTTAATATATTTGTGTCTCAGGTGCAAAGGCTTGTAAAGCATGATTGCAATGTGTAATCAAGTAATAAAATTTTGCCAATCTGAATACATCGGGCACGAGCAAGATATTTTAGTAGGAATATTTACAAATATATACCCTGTGTACACTTTGAATTTAAATATAACGATATTATATTAGAATTGACGTGATTGCCTATATGAAAACCACTTGGGCGTTGAATTAGAACTGCTTTGTTATCGTCACCTACATGATATATTAGAAAACTGTTTAGTAGACAGTTTGGGCAATATACAATATCAGTCTTTTCTTTACTAAGCAAGCGAACAATACCGATCACGAAGTTAAATAAACGCGCCTCACCATGTCGGCTACCTTATAATTTACATTGGATTATTTCAATATAACTTCCGAATTTTACATTGAGCAGAACTGATGGAAATCTATTTTTATGAATATATTGTGTAACAAGTAAAACGGGTGAGAAGAGCATGATTGATTCTCCGAGTCTCCTCTTTTCAGATTGTAAACAAGATCATTCAATAATATTTGATATGCTCCCATGAAGCGTGTTCCAATACATTACTTAGTTACTCATCAAGCAGACATTTCGGACAAAAGACCTAAAAATTCTCGCTGTCAAGCACCTTATTCACGAATGGCAGGTCATTAATTAATTAATTTATTACATATATCAATTAAAATATAGCCTATATTATTTCAACTGTCGGAGATGAAATAACAGAAAATTGACAAGGGTTCGAAGCTATCGATGTTTATATCAACTGTTATACGTCAACCTTTGGAAGGTTTGAAATGAGTATATCGGGATATACCTGTGACCGCAAACAGCTACGTCGTGATTGTTTGTATATCTTTGATTACTATTATTTTTTTAAGTTTGTTTCGACGCACAAATTCATGTCATGGCATTTTGATTGAACCTATTTTGGTCTACTAGTTGATTATTTTAGGAAATTTTTAACGATTAAGAATTGCGGAGTGTCGAATTGCCCAAACACCTTTATATGCAACTTGAATTATGAACGATGTGAATTCGATTAAATCTTTTGAATATACACCTGCGGCACTGCATTGAAGTTTGTGGGAGTGTATCATCACACGGAAAAAGTGTTTCACATTTCCTTCCGCATTTGGCTGATCCAGTAACGACTTTATAGAAGAACATTCTGATATATTCAGACAAACGTGATTCACGCGAATGAGATCTTATGTAGCGTTTATACGCTCAAATGTAATATTATATATACATAATAACTAGAAACAAATAATTTACGCGCCCCTTGATATTCTGACCAATTATCATTGACAAAAAATACGATCCTTGCTGAAAGTGAAAACGTTGCATAAATATATATAAATCAATATAAGTTAGGTCGGAGTAGAATATGTCGTTTTCATGGATCAAACCGAATGAATATCTAATTCTAAAAGATTAGCGTTCCAGAAAATACAAGGGTAAAAAATAACACAGGTGTTTTCATTTTGAAAGCATTTTGATTCATTACGAACAATCTTCAATGTTAGAGACGATTTCCCATTATAGTCTTTCACAAATATGTTTACAGTTTAAAGTCTTTTTATTATTTCCACTTTGGAGAAGTCGTTGCCTATGGATTACAACAAAGAAATATCAACCTGACTGAAAAATAAGGTACGAGTCGCTATTATGCCTCAGTCAAGCGATACAATGTTATGTCTGGACGTGAGCATACACTGAAAAAGTAAATCAAATATACAGTGTATTATGTGTATTCAAATATGGTCAGAATGTGTCATTCGCCAGTCACGTATGAATACCTAGAATCGATGAAACCTCATGGTCGCTGTTTTTTTATAGCAAGGTGTGTTGATTCACATCATAAAATGCTAGTTGATGCGATTCACTGAGCAACGAAAGAAGGATGTGCCTTGGCTTAAATACGGGAAAGAGCACGTACGCCATTGTACTTCCGCGTGGGAGTTGGTGTAAAAGCAGCTTATATGTGCGACGACACTGTTAGTCTGCCAATTTGTTTGGCGCCTCAGTCGGAAAGTCATATTAAATTTATTTTTAGAAAGCGATATATCGTCACGCTAATAACCGAATTGCGTAAGTCATTTTTGGCGGTTTTGAGTTTTTTATAAAACAGGTATTTATGTAATGCTGCGCACCTGTCTGTTAACTCAGATTTTATTTTAAGAATTCCGAAACCCATAAAAATAGAGATTTTGTATAATATGCAAATTTGTTCAATTGTTTCGTCATAATGAATTATCACTGTTAACGCAGGACTATTGTGACGTCACAAAGGCAAAATAACCTCCGCGAAGGATTATCGAGTTTTTGCATCTCAGATTCTAGCTTAGCGCTTATAAATTTCAATTTATACTACAGTATAGGAAGGCGTGCACTTGTGATATTCACTGTCTGAGTCCAATTCACCTTGGTTGGCTTTTATATAAGGGTACATCGCTGTTTTATTCTTCATATTTAACTTTAGTCTTATTTCGGTGGATGTGCAGAGCGTGTTGTATTGATGAAATATATATTTTAAACATAAAAAATAATGTAATTGAAACAGATTAGCTATTTTGGGGATTAGACTTCGTATATACTAAGAATTACATTCGTTTTTGGATTGTTTGGTTTTCAGGACTGGTACATATAGTCAAGTTGCAAAATTGCGTATGTCCCATAGTCATAGACACATTTCTGCCTAAGTCACAGTGCGTCATTATGACGTCACATGACTGCGTCATACAAATTAACTCAAACCCGGCTACGATCAAAAAATTCAACCATGGCAAATCATTGACCCTCAATGGCATAGCAATTTCATTAGGAAGTTTTTTACGTTTTTCTCAAACTGCTAAAAATGACTTACGCAACTCGGTTATTAGCGTGACGATATGCAATTGAGCTATCAGACGCAAAAATGTTTAAACTTACGCTCATACTTTGATGGACGCCGATACTTCGGGAATATAAGAAAAAAACTAAGCCTCCTAAACTTTCTCCTGAATGAAATTTAGATTTTAATGGCGCTTCGCTCATTTAGAAAGATCGTCATTAATCATAAAATATGGCTCGGAAATCTACAAACTGCGCTGCACGCGATCAACTCGCAAATTGCTGATAAAGAAAAGGTTGAATACACATCGGAAATAGTTTGAAAATTAAGAAGGCAGATAAAAAAGAATTCAATTTCATGTGTTTGCATTCTAGACACCCTTAACGCTGATTCAAAATGAATGTATAAAACACTGGTGAACAATTTGTGATTGAATCTAGAAATCGTATGCAAGACATTTCTGTGCATTTGCAGAAGTACTGTATGGTATAAAGTAGTCTGATTCAAATAATGAAAATCAAAACACCACAGTTTCCTATTCAATTACTTTCTAGCTAGAGCGTAATAAATAAAATTTCATTGACTCAGTTTTATGCAAAAGAATATACAAACAAACAGTCGGTTATTTTACTTTTGCAACTTCGATTTTGAAATTTCATTTTTTGCAAACAGATCACAGGAAACTGATAAACTGTAAACACCCCGAATTTCGAACAATATAACGCATCTGATTGAGTTTATAATATGCGAATGACAGTGAAATAACCAGTAACTGTATATTGCTTTTTAGCAATGGCATATTGTGCGCAGGAGTCGTATGAGTGTAAAATATCAACAGTGTGAAGTCATACCATTTCCTTGTTCGCCCGCGTATGTTTAGTATACATACTAAAATAACAAACAAATTCAGGTACGGTAGCGTGGATACGTCTGTATATATTAACAGTTATCATGAATTAATTTGTTTGTTCTGCGTTTTGATAAAGGTGTAAAATACTTTCAAATAGGAGATTTGCAGAAAATGGCCTAAGAATAATGAATTTGAAATTATCGTCACGCCAATATTAACGGCGCAAGTATTCATATATATAAATGTATTGAATCCACCACTAATAATCAAATGGAAATCTTATATTGCTCTCAACTATATAAACATCTTTTTCAATTTTAAAGCTAAATAATTCCAAATTTATTTTAGTTACTTCAAGTAATTGAACAACAAAAACAAAATGGGAGGAAATCCATCAAAACCAAGTAAGTCGATCAGGCAATCACATTTTTACACAATATATCACGACAGTCTTACGCTAATTAATTAGCTTTTTCAATTTTTAAAATTTATAATTATTGAAATTAATATTATTGATTCTCTCAATATGCATGTATTGAAAGTTTTTTTTTCAATTTTATGTATTCAAATTTTATTTGACATGAATTATTATTATATTATTTGCTCTTACAGAGAAACCGATGACAGCAGAGAAAGTGCTGGGGATAATGGAAGAATACCCCCAATATGTGCAGCAATATTATAAGCAGAATGAAGACGAAATTGAAGAATACATTGTTGAAAATTTCTGGGAGGAAGATGTGGCAAGATGGTTGAACAAGATCAGAAATAGATCTCCAAGTAAGATTACATTAATCCTTTGCTATTAGTCTAGTTCAGGGGTCACCAACGCGTTGCCCGCGGGCACCAAGTCGCCCGCGAAGACCATATGAGTCGCCCGCAGGTCTGTTCCAAACTAAGTCTAATAACGGCTCTTATAAGTAAGCTACATCAATTAAATTTTGTCCTGCTATATTAGTATAAATCACACTTATATGGGAACTAGAAATTATTGTAACCATCAACCTTATTTTTATTTGACCTCAGTAATGTGACGGGTCAATTAACACTCTTCCAATCATGACATCACACTGAGATCACTTTCCACGAACCCGAGCTTTTTCTTGTCCGTTGGTTAGCGGAGCAGTAATAATACAATTATTGATTCCAAAGAAAAATCCATCATTTTCACGATGAATGGGAGGTGGATATATTCATACCACCATGAAAACAGCCTGCTTGTGTCTAATAAGTGGGGCGATTTTAGCGACGGCAAAGCGGAGAGATATTTCACAACTTGTCACGTAATCTTCCGCGCTAACTGGCCCACTGGCCAGCACAGTACGGACAGAAAAAGCTCGCGAATCAAATCATACAGCAATCCTATTTTACGAGACCATCGTTTGTTTCAACCTATCCTTTCGAATCAACATTTTTGACATAAACTCACGATAGGAGGAGATATACATATTTATCCCGGGGGCAGTGGCGTAGCAAGACTCTCGTGGGCCCGCTCGCAAAAATATTTCGTGGAAATTACCCTAAAATCTCTCGGACATAAGCTAAAAGCATAACATGTCGCTATTAAAAGGCAATGGTAACCTAAAATTTGCCGTTTATCTTGGTTACTTTAATTTTTTTCATACGTGCTTCCTCTTCTGCCCCTTTTCTGCGTTTCTGTGCGCAACTGAGAGGTTTTGCTTTCGACATCACTTCACAGCCTTCGCGATTTTGCCGGTGCGATCAAACCACATGGCGCCGAAAATCGACGACTCCCTGACCTTGTTACGTAACAAAACGATATTTGAGCAGAGCTAACATCAACGTTACAAGATGTGCCTTACTGGTTTTGCAATGCAGCTCTTGGTTTTGCGGCCTAAATTTCTAAATTCTAACCGCTTGGGCCCCTTTGCGCTGCGCCCCCCCCCCCCCCGCGACCGCGGGGGTTGCGGGGGTGGATGCTACGCCACTGCCCGGGGGAGAAGATAGCCGATAGGACGGCTTAATCATATGACAAACCCCGGCTTCTCGCCGGTTACCATTCGATGTAGGGTATGGGACTAGTTAGTTATTTATTTCCGGAAGCCTGGACTTGATGGCGAAGGAAGCCTTAACCGACCAGCGGTTACGTGAACCACCCTACGGCGGCGAGGAGTCCAGCAATCCTTTCGCACATAACTATCCCCGCATGGGATTCTAACCTGCGAACCTAACGCTTAACACGATGGGCCATAGCGCCGCGACTCACTCCACCAGGAACAAACATGGAACACGCCCCACTGATAAAAATCTGCAAGACTTGCTCAGAGTTATAGAGTCAAGTTACACGTCGGAGTATAATACTCTGCAACATTTGATAGTACAACTGTTAAATCCATTTTATCTTAGACATGTGCAGAGTGTTGAAAATCAATTTGAAAACACACAGTTTTGAAATACAAATGTTATTGATAGAAATTTATTTGCAACGTTGTGATAATCGTTTGATTTCCCGAAGAATCCTAAAGTTTATTAGTGTCTATACTTCACTATAAATTATATCAATAATTGAAGCTTAATCGAGCAACTGATTTTTTTAGAAGTGTACATTTAACTGGTAGCCCGCAGTTTAATCTGTACCCAAAAAGTAGCTCTCGGCTACGAAGAGGTTGGGGACCCCTGGTCTAGTTTAATATTTGGTCTATAATAAAATTTGTGAATATTTTTCTTTTCTCAATAAGCAGTTTTGACACTATGTTTTTGATGATATATTATTTTATTATTATTCATAATTCAGAGGAAAATCTGCAAGTTCGAAAAATCGATTTCTTGAAAATCAGAAATACTTCTACTCATCATACTTCATCGTATGAAAACAAGTCGCTGGTGATTAGAAGAGCAGCTGATTTCACCGTCGATGTTATTTTTGGGAATCGCTCTTTCGATCCTGAAAGAGACGACATTTCAATCATCTTCTCGATTGGTAACTTTATTCAATGTATTCATTTTTAGCAAACTTATCCTATGAATGTTATTATATTGTAACGTAAAACCTATTAGAAATGATACTGCATTTACTAAGGCATGAAGCATGCACTCTAAATGAAGAAAGTGGTAATTCCCACCGAAATATTTGGTTCACAAGGTTTTCTACTTCTTCCACCCTTTGGGTAGGTGTTTAACATTTCCACCCTAACAACCCCACCCAAATCGATAGGAAGATCAACCTTCTTGCAAGCCTGGAAACGTACTATAACCACCCAAAGGAAGCATGAAACCACAACAGGTTTTCAAGCTTTAAACAATTTATTAAAACAGTAAATATTCGGCGAAATTGACTACTAAAGGTCGCAAATAAATACAGTCGTAATGAGAAAGTCAAGGTACGCCTTTTTTGTTTTTTGAATGGGAATTCTTCATTTGGCAGGAGCAGTAGGCATGCTGTAATGAATGTCAAGCTTTTCTGCTATCTAATGGTATTTGTAGATTGAAAATCCTGTAACAAAGAGTCCATCACTGCCATGGCTTTTGTGTATTTAAGCTTTCATTCGAACTGTGATCTGGTGATAATCCAGAGTTCATCATTGGAATGGACTTACAATCTAAAAATACAAAAAAAGAGATTAGATGAGTATGTCTTTTGCAGTAGAAAAAGGGTCGCATGTTAACTTCGAACATATTCAATAAAAATGTTTCCAACTGAATTGGAGTCCTTGTACTGGACAAGTAATTTATGATAGTAATTTATAAAAGTGCTGAACAACACAGACTAGCTATTTTTTTCAGTTTGTCTTCTTAGCAAGGTCATATTGAAATAGACGAATTTTACTAAACTAAGTTATATCCCAATCCACTAGGGCTAGACATAAGTAATAAGTATTGATTCTAACTTTTTATGATTTTAAAGCATAGAGTGATATCATCATACATCTACATATAGGCTATATAGAATCAAAAATTTCAACAATATGTTTGTGATGGTGACATTATTTCATTCATTCTCAACACTGTATTTTACACCCAAATACAACGCACTAGATTTAAAAACATGTACCAACCTATCAGTTGTTCACTGCTCATCTGCTATATTTCACCCTTTTAGTTTCTCTGCTATTAGCTATTTGTGAGTTCCAATACTGTGATCATCTTCATTTTTAAGAAAATCAGAGAAGTAGAAGTTAAGAACAGAATGGGCCTAAGTCCAGCTTAAATTTTTATTATTGAGAAATTTAGGATTTCAAGACCACCACCTTGTAGAATGTAGAGCATGGCTCAAAACCCCAAAATATTGGAAAAAAAGAGTCCTAAGTTCCAGTATGATGAGCATGAACATCAGAAATGAAATGTCCGAAACTTACATCCCTAAAAAATTATTCAGTGCAACTTAGGTCTAAGTCACCTTGTTTCACTTTGCATCCCATACAAAAAATTCAGAGGTTGTTGAGAACAGACTGGGCCAAAATTCTTTATGGAGATAAAAAAGCTGGAAGGAATTGAAGCTGAAGTGCCAAAAAATATCGAGTACAAAGATATTCTCATCCACACTAAAATAACCAGAGCTCAGGTATTTACTAAGTGTGAATATTTAGAAATTCGAAAATAAAAAAATTACAAATTGTTTTTTTGCATTTTTCTCGAAACTCGAAATTGTGACTTAGGCCTGTTCTGTTCTCATCCGGTGATATATTTATTACATAAAATAACAAGACTCACCTATGAGTTGTTCACTGCAGCACTGCTCATCTGCTATATTTCTCTCATTTAGTTCCTCTGCTATTATCCACTTATAGGTCCCAATACTGTGATCATCTTCATTTTCAAGAAAATCAACATCCTGAATAAGAAAGTTACGTGCTCAGTAGGCTACTAACAAAATTTATGATAGCTGTTAAAATTGTGTAATTCCAAGTTAAGCACAAAAGAAAAATAAATTGTTCCCGCTCGACTCACCAAACATGTTATAAACAGATAAATGAGCCAAATACAGCAATAGCCTGTACAGAATCCTTTTGGCAAGTTTGGCAAATCAAGATTAGTTGAGATAGCTCCCGTTACTGGTACGAAGTTCAGAAGTTAGACTCGCAATATAAGTTACTGATAACGTTATATTTCTGTATTTATATAGTCTTATCGGGTCTCCTGAAGTATGCGCCACATATACTTCTAGTTGGCCTGGCTCAACAATATTTACATATGTAATTTCTAACCCCCATATGCAGACATGACTACGTCATTCAAAAATTACATCACTGCGAAGTCGCAATGACGTAATACGGCCCTCAAAAGTATACGGAAGGTTGCACAGACAATCATCCGAAGTTGAGCAGGCTAGCCTATTTCTTGTCATCGAAACGATATCGATACAGCGATAAAAGAGAGATCGCTGCACAGATGCCATTTCGGATGCGTAACTATACTTTAGAAAGCTCTATGACGCGATGGTGATGCAGTGATGTAATTTCCTGATGACGTAGCCATGTGGGGGTTAGAAATTAGATATGCAAAAATTGTCGAGACAGGCCAACTATAAGTACCTGCGGCACGTACTTCAGGACACCCATCTTATCTAGGCCTAGTACGGGTCACTTAACGTTAGCAAACAAAGCTTGACAAGATCTGAAGTTTGGCAAATCAAAAGTATCTAGGCTAGTTGAGATAGAATACCGTAGCTCACGTTACTTGTACGAAGTTCAGAATTTACGACTCACGATATAAGTTACTGATAACGTAAATTTCTGTATTTACCATTATAGGCTATAGCCTAGTCTTATCTAGTACTGGTCACTTGACATTAGCAAACAAAGCTTTGGTTTGCTTGACTGGCAACGTTAGCTGAACGCAATCTGAATCCACATGAACACTGTAGGCTAATAGTAGTAGTGGATTGACTGATCGATTGTTTAATTATGGCTAGATTAAGGTACCGTACCGGTACTATAATTTCGCGTTTGTTTATCAGCATCAACCTAATAATTCGAAATCTTACCTGTACCAGCAAGCTTAAACCTCCAGACCTCTCCACACAATGTAAGTTTTCCACATATTGTAGCTTGGGACAAGTTCAACACAAACTGTGCCCACCCACTTATTCTATCTATTGAAAATTGGAGTTGTTTACCGCAGACATTCTGTTATGCACAGAGTTTCATCGAAGCCTCAGCAGAGTGATAAGTCAAGTCACCGCGCATAAAAATATTCGAAACGATTTCAGCCAATAGCGTTCAGCCTTTTCACATCGTCACAGTCACCTCGATATCACGTGACATGACGCGTTCATGCTTTTCCACCAAGTTCAGTGGAGAAAATGTTTGGAACACACCCTGTGAATGCATTAGCACGGTGTATATAAAATTATGCAACGAAGTAAGGCGGAAAATTTATCACTACACCCCAATGGAGGGGGTGGAAATGGCAAATATCCTCTTTTTCTGTTAAGAGTGTGGTGTTTAAAATGTGCAATAGGATTACTTACATCTTATATATATGTGTTAGAAACTTCGTAAAAATGTTTGAGAAAATTATTTTTTACTTATTCAAACTAGGTGCTCAAGCAAGTCAGGCAAACAAATCAAAAATGACATGTTTCGCTTCTGATAAGCCTGGAAAAAAAGAAAAATGGTACTGTGTATTGGAGTCTGTTGACAGCGAGGCCAAGAAGGTCACTTTGAAAGTACATGTGCCGGCAACCGCCATTATAGGCAGTTACAAGGTGAGTTTGATACTTAGGCTAACATACTATACATAAATTGGTTATATCCGAAAAACGAAAATGGGCTTTATACACAATGCAATTTCTTATGTTGTTAGCAAACGTCTTTACCACAAACTACCAGTATATATATGTTGATTCTAATACACCATTGTACATTTCTTATGCGATTTTGTTACTAAGAAAATACACAGAGATTCAAATTATGACATTTTGAAATGGCACCCCTACGCAGTATTGTACGCAGAACTTGTATTACAACACAACGCATTTTCTCGAACTTGCAACTTTCGGACCACCAATCTATATATAGCTATACAATATATCCGTACAAAATAACCTTGATCATTTTGAATTTTTTTTAAACATATCGCGTGCGACGAATACATTTTGGGTGTGCTAGACTGCGGTTTGGAATACGAAGCATTCAGAACCACTGATTCGTAATATATTTCGTCGAATTGGAAATTGCGTTGGAGGCAATACCGCTTCCTTCTCCACGGTTGGACGCCCAACAGTATTTATGCGATTTACCTTTCATTGTTTCCCGCCATTGCTGGCACAATAAAATTGTTTAAAAATAAAAAGACGATAGCCCCGAGTCGTTGCTGTGAATGAATAGAAAGCTGAAGATTAACTTTTCTCAAGGTGAACAATATAAAAGCTAACCAAGCAGAAGGCGTTGTGAAACTAGTAGTTTAACTGTAGCATACATCATTCTCCGGTATTTACCAATACACACAAAACACGACACATTTGCGAGACTAATACAATTTGGCTTTGTTTACAATATCAAGGTAGTAAGTAACGTACTTAAATTTTGTTAGGTATCTCTCGATATCGTCAGTGGAACTAAAGCAGGTAGAGTGAAATCGACACACAACGATGCGAATATCATCGTACTTTTCAATCCATACTCAAAAGGTACATCATACTTTAACTTTACCTTAGCTTTACATTAATACTTATTCCTTACTTTTCGCTTTTTTCAATTTATATATTCTTTTGTTCGGTTATACAGTATCAATTAATGTTCGTAATATCATCGCACGACCCTTGTCACGATACACTCAAGTATGCAAGCAAAGCTCGAGTACAATAATTACACCCGAATTTTTTAGGCGTCGTTGCATTTCGGTTTCGATATTCATCGTGTTTAATCCACTCGCTGTGTTTAGAAGGCTCTTAGACTCTTTCTAATGGGAAAAAGACGTCGTTTATACTAGAAGTTAAACTAGAAATGTAAGACGATATTCTGAGATACTATTTTTTTTAATTTCCGATTCTCATCTTGCATTAAAAAATTCTAATTGCGGGAAATTAATTTTCATAGATGATGTAGTCTACATGGAAAACGAAGACTGGCGAAAGGAATACGTCCAGGAAGATAATGGATTCATTAATACTGGTACATACACGCGTGGAACCACAGGAAAAAAGAAATGGGATTTCGCGCAATTTGATCAAGGGGTCCTTGATTCAGTTCTTCTGATGATCCAGAAAGACTCGAGAGTTCAAGCTCAGCCTATCAAATCTCTGAAGAAATGTAATTCGCCTGTGTTTTTGTCTCGTGTCCTAGCGGCCATGGTAAGTCTGTACAAATAGTATTTTCCTAAAAAACTGATTTTAACGAATTGAAACATTCTGAAGACAGAATAAGAGTTCGATTTCAGGTCATAGATTAAATTAAACCAGCGATGGATGTGCAGCGGTACGATTTCACAATTGAATATTATCGCCAAGACTGTTAAGTTAGCTCCATGAAAATTAGTCAGCCGCCAAAAACAGTAAAACCTACTGCGGTATAAATACATTACTTAAAACCGTGGCTCCAATAAACGAACCCGAGATGAAATAAACAAATAAAACAATTAAACGATCAAAATCTTTTCCCACACTCATTTAAATCAAAGCTAACTTTGAAAAATGAAAGAATGAATGTAACATTTTTAACGTATGAAAAAGCCGTCATTCGTCAAAGCTCAATGTTTTATTCAGGTGAACAGTAACGATGACAGCGGGGTTCTTACTGGAAGATGGACCGGTAAATACGACGATGGGCATAACCCAAGTGATTGGTCCGATAGTGCTAAGATAATTAGTGAATGGAGAGACAATGACTATAAAGCAGTAAAATATGGTCAATGTTGGGTCTTCTCTGGACTTTTAACAACAGGTTAGTTTAAGTTAAAAAAGTAACCTTATAACGTAAATAGATTCATTGTGACAGAAAAACAACAATACTGAATAAATAGTGCCGTAGATAAATATTGCGAAAATCCTGGACAACAAACCTTACAACTAAAAAGAAATGCATATTTCAGGTAAAAATTGATAAAAAAAAATGGTTTAATAAAAACGTGTTTTATTGTGTATAACTAGAAAATACTAATACTGGACTCTAATCTTTGAGTTTTATTGAAGGTTGTTCTTGTTTCAGCCATGCGAGCAATTGGAATTCCTGCCAGATCGGTGACTAATTTCAAGTCTGCTCACGACACGGATATGAACCAGACCGTTGATATATACTTAGACAGTAAAACGTATGAAAAAATTGACCATACAAGTGATTCGATTTGGAACTTTCACGTTTGGAACGAAGCATACTTTGCCCGTCCCGATCTGCAAGGGGGTAAAATGACTACACATGATTAGAATAAGAATTAACAATGCTTAGAATTTTATTTAATAAATTGACAAAAAATAAGTTATGATAAAACGCTATAAAATATGTTCAATTTTCATTCTAGTATTAAAAAACTAACATTACGGTTGAAAATGAAATTTCGAGTCTCACTCTTTTGTCTGTAACACAAAAATACCGCTTTCCGATTGTTAGAAATTAACACAAAAATGGAAACAAACGAATGTATTAGCACTGTTTTGAAATAATATCCATTTTTGTATGTCAGTATTCTACATTCAGAGTACTTCAAACAAAGCACTATGAATGTCTATAATAGAACAAAGTTTGTCATATCGAAAGCAAAGTGTTGACTCGTACATAATTTATGTATTGTTTCTCAATCTGTAATAGATTATGGTGGTTGGCAAGTGGTGGATGCCACGCCCCAGGAGGAATCGGCTATTCTTGATCCATCTGGTGATAATTCAAAGGGGTTGATGCAGTGTGGTCCTGCTCCTGTAAAAGCGGTCAAAGAAGGTGATATTAACATTGGATCAGATACTGGCTTTGTATTTAGTGAGGTGAGAGTCTGCTAGTAAAAATACGTTTGCTTGTGACTTTAAAAGTTTTCGTTAAACGATAGAGAATGCATAAATGAAGATGACTGCGATGAGACGCCTCATCATTGAACAATTTGGGTTTCGCATTCAGCGTAGCGAATGCTTGAACAATTGAACACGTCCGAGATCAAAAAGCGACTAAAAAGTTTTATCTATTTATATATACTTACCTAAAGGTGAATGCTGATAAAGTGTACTGGTTTGTGGATAAATGGGGAAATGTAACACGGCCCCCGATTGTAATGACTAGAGCCGTTGGCGTTTACATTGGGACAAAGGCTGTGGGCAAATATCAAACCGAGAATATCATTTCTCAATATAAATACCCAGAAGGTAAGATATCACCAATTATTTTCTAATAATTATCAAATGCATTTATCAAATTTTGGAATAGTATAAAGCGGGAACAAAATGTTTTAGGATCTGCTGAGGAAAGAAAGGCTTTCCACAAAGCTTATGGAATGGGAACACGAGAACATCAAGGTTTTGAAACTGACTACGAAATTGTCCCACAGGCGTTTGAAATTACAATCCAAGAATTGGAAAATGCCATAGTTGGCCAAGATATTACGACAAAAGTCTCTGTAAGTGCTACTTTTTAAATGAAAGAATAAGTTGGAAACCAATTATTGACGCTAGAAATTCACACAAAAAAATATGATTGTGGTATAATTGAGCCCCCTTTTCAGGTGAAAAATGCATCCGGAAAGAACCAGCAAGCCAATATTAAAATAGCTGAAAAAAGCATGAAGAATGTGGGAAAAAGTTATGCAGCACTGGGGGAATACACGAAAGATTTTGAGCTTGGAAGTGGAAAGGGTAATGATAAATGAAAAAATACTTTATATGACAATTTTTTCTTTTATTGTTTTCTCTCAGTTTCTGTATAGATATATACATATTTGTAGAAAGCGCAAAATTATGTCCATTATATGAAACGAGCATTCTTACGATCGACGATATACCATGTACCTACGTTTATGCTGATATGAACATCAGCAAAACCGCCTCAAAGACCTTATACTTATATATACCTAGCACATCTTTTCGGTATTGGATCGCTTATAGTCTAAAACTTGGCCCGGGATAATAAAAGGCTCAGATATTATTATTAACAATTCTGTTGAAATTTACACCAATTTTGTTTTACTCATCTATTTACATTATTAATTTAGTTAATGAAATTGACTAAAAAGTGTGTTTCTCGGGCCCTATTAAATAACAAAATTTTCAGTCGAATCCGGTATAGCTCAACATTAATGTTCTCTAACGACCATCCAAGTCAAAATCTCCTGTTTGGTAGCAATATCGTACTTGGTCTTGATACATGGTAAGATCCAATAATTTACGATAGTGGCACCAAATGGTTTACACGCAATTGTTTTATGCAGATATGAGCTTCACCTTCACTCTGAAAAAGGACGATTACATTCAACACTTGGTTGACGATTATTCGATCAATATTAATGTAACCGTTGTCAGTAGTTTGGATGGAAACACTAGCATTGCAGAACTGGATGCGACTCTCGGGTTACCAGATTGTGTCACGATCAAGGTACGTAAAAAGATATGCTTACAGGTTGTTTTGTTTAGGTTAGGTTGTTTCCGTTTAAAAACTTCACGAATCAAATAAAAGGAACATAATAAGTGAAGAGATGCTTTATTACCTACAGAAATTTTTTTATTAGAGATATTTTGATTGTATTTTCTCGACTTTGCAGCAATAATCTAACAAAATCTTGAAGAATCGCTCTACAGACGTATACTTCGTTGTAGTTATCCAAAGTATATAAACGCGCATCTTAAGCTATCTCGTTTGGTTTATTTGGCGAGAAAGAAAAAGGTTTTTTAAGGACTTGGGATGATACAGTCTTCCATATAGATAAATATAAAATATACCCAACACACGTGGTTCTCAATTTAATAAGAATAAGGATATAAATTTCAGATGCCAGAGTCGTTTCACTGGCTGGACGAAGTTGAAGTCGAGGCTGTTATCAAAAATTTGCTTCCAATGCCGTTGAGCAAAGGATCTCTTACCGTAGAGGGTAGAGGAATCGACATATCAAGTAACTACGCTGAAGTGGGGTAAGAAAATAAATATTAATGATGTGATCAGTGGACTTTTATCAATTTCAGGAAATTTTCGTGGTTTGTTCTTGTTGTAATACACGATGTATAAAATAGCACAATCTATTCTATAACGACCGCGTTAGATTCACATTCTTTCAAACGAATCCGTTTTCTAGGTAATCGTGCCAGCATATTTGAGGAATTTGCTGTCCCGAAATAATAGTATTCGTCAACACGCCAATGGAAAACTATCACTCGGAGTGAATTTTCCCCAAAAAATTAGAATCCATTTGTGTATTTTTTAAGACTTTTTTAAAAAGAAAATTAATTAACACCAAATATAACAGAAAACCACTTCAACCCGGAGAGTCATTCACCACAAAAGCTAAACTGAAGGCGAGATATGGATGGCGTCGTGTGTATGGTGAGGTAATATTCAGGAGTGCGGAAGTGCGTTTACTCAAAGAAAACTACAGGACAAAAGTCACCACTTAAAGTTGGATGGAATTCGTTACATCATAATGTAATAAACTGCAGATAATATAATCACCAGTGGTATAGTATCAAGAGTATCTGCATTTCAAACGTATATCAAGTAGCTTGCTGTATTATTACAATTTATTTACAAATTAAGTGCATATTTGAAAATGTGTGATATTTACAATTACAAATTCGGCTTCTGATTTTGTAATAAAGTTATGTAATATCAAAAATAACACACACACAAAAAAAAAAAAATTTAAAAAAGAATTAGAAACAAAAGAATCGAAGGTTGATTGAACACTTGGGAAGAATTTTGTCCAACCAATATTAAATTTATGTTTACTGTTATAACAAGAAGCCACTGAATTAATATAAATTGTGGGGATGGATCATCAATTTCTGTAATCGTTTTGTCTGTGGATAAGAAATGTAAACGGAATATGCATATCAATTTTCTCTTCTTTGGTTTGCAGAGCTGGGCTATATCAGAAGGGATTGTAATTGTTCGGAGTCTTTTTACGTGTAGCCAAGGCTTGTTTTGAAGAAATAAGTGATCGCCAATTTTGAATCAGACTTACTGTTGAAAAAAATCAATCCGATCTGGGAAATTTTATCTGGCAGAAAATGAGAGTGAAATGGGATTGATGACCGTTTATTCCTTCGCAGATGCGCAAAATAGGTTACTGTTACCAAATTTAACATTTGCGAAGCCAAACATTACGTGCACAATTTTCTTGAATCTGATATTGTTTCCCTGTCCGGTGTATCACATGCCGCTCCCCAAAACCCAAAGTACATAAATGCAGTATGTCCCACAGCAAGATTAAAAAACTATCGCATCAGATCAATCATCAGAAGTCTGGATTCTGTGAATTACCATCGTCATCGGAATAACAGAACTTGTATCCAAAGTTTCTACAATATTTATTTAGTTGTCAGAAAATACGTTTTATATTTGTATAGTGACCAAAGACAAAATGTTTGGCTTTTTATTTCTATTGTTTACCATACCTGCCCAAGAAGTATTAAACATTAATATACAAAACAAACATGTCGCATTAGTAGCAGTCGCTGTTGCGTCGCGGATTGACGTCAAGCCTGGAAAGTCGTATATGTAAGCATGCCTAAAAAATGCTAGTTTAAATTAGATATTACAAAATTATGCCGAGTTAAAATGTTTGCCTCAGTGATGACTAGGTCAAAATAACGCGTTTTAGTATATTGAAATGGTATATATCTTTATCTCCAAATATTTCGTTTGAATCAGAAAATTTTTTACCTTCCAAAAAAGGGGTGGGTGTCAGACAATCAGATTATAAGCTAATAGGTACAACATTTTATCACAGAATCTTTTGGGCAAAATAAGTCGTGCCCAAATATTGCCATAAACCATACATTATTCATAATACATTATGCCCGATCAAATAATTAATTTCTTAAAATTCAAGCTGTACATTATGCCTTCAGTAAAATAAAACGATATAATTTAGACCAGGAGTCGGCAAGGTTTTTGAACCAGGGGTCAAAAAACTTGCCCACCTAGATCGGCGGTCCATGTGAGTGTGACGTAAAAAGTTACACGTGATTGCACACGACAAGAGCATGAGGCGAAAGAAAGAAGTGTGAAAACCACGCCGTCGGATGGACTGCGCGAGAAAACGTAAAGTTTTGTTAACGTCCCATGTCATGACAGTCTGTGGCAACTTAAAATAAAACTTACACAGACTACGATCAATATCTAACAAGCCTATTGCAAGGCCAGATTGAATCACCCAACGGGCCGGATTTGGCCCGCGGACCGTCGTTCGCACTTGTCGAGTTTAACATCAAGTAATTTCGTAGTAGTTTCGTTTAAACCACACTTATAAATCTAACAGAGTGCTTGATCATGCAAAAAATATGAAATATGTACATGTATTGGTTCTTTGTTTTTGAATCATTATAAAGTAAACAGACAACCAAGCAAACATGAATCGAGAATTAGAAAATACAAGGTTCCACATCCGGAGTGTTAGACACGACACGAGTAGCAATAACTTACGTTCTAGTATTTTCAACTTATAAGAACCAATAGGATCAGAAAGAAGTTTGCATATTTGGATGTAATCTCAGTATCACTATCATGTTGGCATTGATATTAGGTAACAACTTTCCGCAATTAGCCAAATAAATAAGTAAAATAATAATTTTTTTTATTTTTTCTAAACACAATTCAAAATCGTTAACAGTTATTTATAATATACTGTTAGAAAACGAGCATTTGTCTGGTAATCAACTCGATGGCCAATATTAAAGTAGACGTGGCAAGATATTGATAAAAATGTGCGGTGCTTTTCGGTACTTGATGTAAGAAAATCTGATGCTATATCCAATTTGACATTTAATTAGATCAACAACTTGTACTCGAATACTCAGATGGCTCGCGGTTATTTTAAAAGGGATATCAGACTGTTTGTTGGATGTCTAAGTCTCATCCTATTTGTAGAAGTAAGTTTATTTTTCTACTAAGTTCTGACTAATTTTTAAGATTCGATATTATTGGATTTACTTGCTAGCTTTCCACTCAAATCACACATTGATACTTAGTCATATTATGTTAATGGCTCATCTTACTTTTTTTTAATCAGATTAGTTGCATTTTGATGATCGACACTAGAAGTTAAAATAGATCTTTACAACTTTAGGCTCAATAATATTATAGGCTTCCGGGCCATGTTCAAAAATATAGGCTTAATTCATATGAACTATTTAAAAACTTAGGTAGGAGTCTATACCCTAAAAACTTGAATAACATTCCAAACAGCGCTGCCCCTGAATAGGCGAACGATAACTGATATGCGATCAGGTTTTACTCTCGAATACACCATCTCGACAAAATTCTAAATTCGTGTACTGTGACTTGTTACGATAGGACAAGAAGTTTTCATTTAGAATAAATTAGAGAAACTTGAATAGGAAGCAATCGCAAATTAATGTACTGGATATTTTGCGTTGGAATTTTGAAATTCTTTTTCTTGAATAAAAGTCTGAATTTGACTCTAACCTAATCTTTATGCCGGATTCGTTAACTATGATTTCCAAGAGTATTTTAACTAAACAACTCTATGTCATTCTAATATTTAATATCATTTCAGTTGATTGCAAATTTCTATTTCCGAAGCGCGCTTACAACAATTGAACGGCGATTTGAACTTTCTTCAACGGCCGTGGCTTTACTGTCATCTGTATATCAGATTGGAAATCTTTTTGTAATGGTCTTTGTGTGCTACTATGGAAGCAAATCACACAGGTTGTATTTTATTTGAATTTTATTCACGGTTAAGGTATGGTGATTTCTTTTTTGTCCGTTACATTATTTCTTCACTTTTTCAATTTCTAGCGCAATTTGAGTGTTAATTTGCAAAAATATTTTATTCAGGCCTAGAGTCATTGCAATTGGAACAACGCTGATTGCTGTTGGTTACTTGATATCATGTATTTCCCAGTTTATAGGAGATCGATATAAATATGTTGATAACGATAACCATACTACGACTGGTGATCAATTGTGTAAAAGGTAAGATATGCCAAACTCCAATAAAATTGTTATTCGTCATGATGATAATTCATGAATTTTTAGAGTATGCAAAATGTCTTGTCAAAGTCGAAAAAATCGGATCCTTTGTTAGTAAATAGAAGTATAAGGTGACCCAAAAAAACTTAATTCATAAATGTTTTAAATAAAAATGAAAACTGAAGAAATTTATTTAATTTTGTTTACGCTTGAACTTCCGTTGTATATGATTTGATCTAGGAGTTTCAGTAATCTAGGACACTTTACACAAAAGTTATGTTCTCTCTAGAACCTGTTCCAAATGACCTTCTCAACGTTGGACTTGCTATCGTTACTCAAAATTGTCACATTTTTATATTTCATGTGGTATTTTACATACTCAGTTAAAACAAAAAATACTTCAAGGACAATAATATGTAGTGACCAAAATCGTTTCGGTTAGACATTTATCCTAGTTTATTACAGCCCGGGGAATTGAAGGAAACGAACTTTGAACCCAAAATTTATCTTCACTCAAATAAAGAAAAATAGGATGACATTATTTAGTAATAAATGGCTATTTAGCTCTGGACAAATGTTGATTGGCATTGTGGATATTAATCGAAATAATACGATTCTGAAGAGAAGAATCGTTTGAAAGACTTTTTTAACACTCATAACGATCTGATACGACAAGAATGAACGAACAACAATAAGCACTTCTCTCAAAATTGGAAAGTATACCAATCCTAAGTTTAAACTACTGTCGTATTTTAATTATTTTACTACACGTTTTTGCAGCTCTCTTCATAAAACAGACTTCAACATTTCTTCTTGCAATGTCGATGTAAACAATAAATTGGAAAATAAGTTATATATTTTTGTGCTCATTGGCATAATCCTGAGTGGAATAGGTGCTGCTCCCCTTCAACCACTCGGAATGTCCTACATTGACGATTTTTCCAGTCCGCATAGAGTACCGATCTATATAGGTATGTATGCTTATTGATATTAACATTCATGTTTTTAATGTATAAAATACATCAAATAAAATAAAATCTTAATTTCACTACCACTTCACATCTAACGAAAGTTGAATTTCCTACAATCATAATTTTATTGGACATGGGGTGGACCTTTGTGTCTTTTTATTTTTAGTAATTGGTGGGGTTCACTTAGGTTGGGGCAAATTATCATTTTTTAAAACTACTAGATTAATATTTTTTGAAAGATGTGTTAATTGGAAGGCTATATAGGTTTGTAATTTTTGTCTGTTTCACCTTGCGAATAGATTTCAGGGGCGCTTGTGGTGAACTCAGCCTTCGTGTTCATGTATTTGAACATTGCTCTTTTGTTTTTCAATCCAGTGGTTATTTTATTCAGTCCAGTATTTTGCACTTAATAGTGCGATTGAAAAAAAATATAGCGAACTACCCTACAGGGTTATCTTGTGTACATGACCCAATTCCACGATCACAATCGCTTTAAATGAAACATGTCATTTTTCATGCAGGTGTTGTGTTGACGGTTGCGTTGATTGGACCAGCCGTTGGATATATGCTTGGTGCTGTATTTTTGCAGATATGGGTTGACAGCGGATGGGTAAACACAGGTAATTTTTTTTGTAAAATGTATTCTCATTGAACGTGGTAAACAATTTGCCTGCTGTCATAAATATTCCAGACTTGGGATTGTAGTTTGCCTATTTTTTCGTCTCGAACAAATGTGTTTTTCCCCAATTACAATTAATTCTGAACATGAGAAAATCAGTAGAATAAAAATGAGATATGTAACACTGGATCCATCACAATTAAAATGTATTTTCCAGATGATTTTACTATTTCATCTCAGCATGTAAACTGGGTCGGTGCGTGGTGGCTTGGATTTTTATTCTGTGGAATTTTAATGGCATTCGCAACCATTCCCATGTGTTTATTTTCAAGAAGAATGAAAATTAGGTACAAAAATAAAGTGAGTGCTTCTTATTTTATTTGTATCTATCTATAATTATTCTATAATAATAATAATTAATTTAATAAATAATAACAAGAGAGCAACGCTCAATTGTATGAACACGGAAGTCCAATGACTAACCACAGTAACGGCATTGCCTACACAACTTACATTAAAATTCGATACCTGATCATTCGAAATCTTTAAATCAAGTCCTATCGCCGTAGCAATTCATATAGGTGCCGGTAAGACAACATTTGGGCAGTGAGCAGTGAGCACCGACTAAATACAACTGGCTGCCGTGAAACCACGTAGTGGCGCAAAGACAAAATTTATAGTAAAATAACGAGCCGCATAGGAGTCAGAAAAAATTAAAAAAAAAAAAGTAATAACATAGTAACGGCTTCAACCATCTATAAAAAATGAAAGCGATATTTTATCAACAACAACGACAATTTAGCAAATCGATTCATACGTACGTTTGTTATTCAATAATTATTCATAGTTAGAATGTATAATGTTTATAACTGTCGATTTCTCAACCATTTCGTCGTATATACATCATTTTAATAGTTGTAAATGAATACAGACTAATACTTTCCACGTGTGTTTCAGATTCTCGTTTTGAACATCATTTCAATCAGATTTATACTTACGGCAAATAGCTTTAGCTTTACGCAGAGGAGTCAAGTTTGGATCCACTTTCTCGCAACGACTAACAAGTTCTTAACTTTATGTTGCAGATATTTTTGAGACATTCAGAGAATCACCCAAGTGATGTTTCGGTAGAGAAGGTTGGTGCACCAACGGCCACAGCAGAGTATGTTTATATTTATTTAACCTTGCAAATTCATCACAAAATGTACACTATACCGAAGTAACGAATAGTTATTTTGTAATGCATTGTGTACAATAACACAAGACAGCAATGCTCAAATATGTAGCCACGGAGGTCGCGTATCGATACCAGTTGAGTACCGAATTTGCTGTAATGATCTGTAAACAAGTGAGACAGAATATAGTGATCCCATACGTCATAAACAGTGTTCCCATGAATTTAAATGAAAAAGCTAAAGTTTTGATAACATATTATACAATATTAATAATAGCGCTCTAGCGAATTTTTCTGAAATGTGAAATCGATTGGTTTATTAGTTCCAGCAAAAGCTATTTTTTGCCAACAACAACAAGAATATTATCAACAACTGTTACGCAAAACGATGCATATTGGGTTTCAAGAAATAAAATCTTATAAATCTGGTCTCCATTAGTACTAAAAAAATAATCATGAATATCATTGGTTAGAATAATTTTATACAAATGGAGCAATGGCTTTATTATTTCTCGTATAAAAATGTGTTAAAATCATATACAATGATACACATGAATTTTTATTAAGTGCAAAAAATTCTTTTTTCGCGATAATATTCTTTTTTGCGTTCAGATTCAATACCATGTTGGTCTGTTGAAAATGCTAAATCACTAATACCGTATTCTTTAATTTCAGAGGATTGATTGCCGCCATCAAGAGACTCATGACAAATTTTGAATATCTTGGTATGTTGTCCATGTTGGTTTTTTCTGCGTTTTATATAACCGGAATTATCAACTATTTTCCAAAGTTTTTAGAAGTTCAACTGGGAGCATCTCCCTCAAAAGCCGATATGTCTTACGGTAAGTTTATATTTTTTTTTCCATTTTCAAATTTCATTTTGAATCTGGTTTCATGTGGTATATCATACAGCATAGCATGTATATAACAATCAGAGAAGCTACTACATATTTTGTAAATGGCTCAATCAATTCAAAACTTCTAGGTGCCATCGGAATACCATGCATAGCTGTTGGGACAATGCTTGGTAGTTACATTATGAAGCGGCACAATCCAAATAAAATTGGAATGGTAAAACTCGCTGCTGCTTCGCATTTTTGCACAACTTTACTCACATTACCAATGTTATTCATGGGATGCAAAACAATTGACATTGCTGGCGTTACAGTACCTTACTCAGATAGGTAATACATACTTAATTAATATGCGAAATTCACTTAAAACTCCTAATAGAAAGAACCTATCGTTTCCACGGAAAAGCATGCAGATTTTCTAATGAGAGGACATATATTATTAATGAAAAAAGGACAAGGCAATTGACTATCGTACTCGAGAAATTATTTTGATATTCTGAATAATTGTTGTACTATACTGAACCCATCCTTCAAATAATTTTTGCAGCACATGCAGCTCCAGTTGTCACTGCGATGCAAACATATTTTCACCCATTTGCGGATCGGATGGCTATACCTATCTCTCTCCATGTCATGCTGGATGCAAAAATACATTTCAATTAGATGGACAGATTCAAGTATGGATTCTTCCTTTTCTTTTCATCGCATATCAAGCATAGGTGAATTCGGTGAACTTTTCACCTACTTTTACCAACAACAACAACAATACCAGCAAGATAGACTCCCCACAGCATCAACGACGAGAATAACAAAAACAAGAAATTATAAAAATGATCCATATATACATTTTTGGTCCAACAATGTGCCTAATGCACCAACAGAGGTTATATTCTGACATATAACATGCATGCATGAATACGTATAATATAATGAAAAAAATGAATGTAGTATTGAAACTCCCGAAAATAAAGTTTCTATTGACTGAAATCCTTTTTCAGAATTACACAGAATGTAGTTGCATTAATTTTGATGATTCAAATATGAACAGTTTGCTACATGGTTCGTCTCTGGGTAGTTGTAAAACAAGCAACTGTTCGGATCTACTTATTATCGTATTGGCGATACAAGCGTTAGCAAGTGTTACGAGTGGGTTGTCGGCTCCAGCCACGTACGTATTTCTGATGAGGTAAGATGTTACGCACTCGTCCATTTAGTTGTATATTAGAAAGTTGTAACACAATTTATAAAACTCATGTAATTATTTGTAACCCAAATTGTATTTATTATACTTTTATATAAAACTTGTATTAACTTATTAAGAAAATACCATTTTGCTATAAAAGAAGATATAGACAGACGTATGTGTAGTTTAAAAGCATTGTCATTGTATATAATTGTTTTTATACATTATTTAACAGAATCGTGAATACTGGAGATAAAGCTCTCGGAATAGGAACTGCATTTATAGTTGTTAGACTGTTGGCGTGGATTCCAGGTCCTATATTTTATGGGAAATTAATTGACTCATCTTGTTTGTATTGGACCTTCAGCAAATGCAGTCAAACCGGATATTGCGGGGTGAGATATGTGCATAACAATGTGTTTTGTTACATTAATTCGGGCACGATGACTCCGTAACCCCACTTTGTCGACAACTTTGCTTAACTGCAACCCATCTTGATTACATCAAAAAATCAAATTTGTTTTTAAATCAAACTAACAAATCATTCTCTAAACGTTCCTAGATCTATGACTGCGATGCATACAGGACAAGATATTTCGGCGTCGTGGTATTTGCAAGCTTTGCATCATGGATTTGCTCATTATGCATCTACGTTCTTGTGAAACACAAATCTTCGAAACATAATAAGACGAAAATAGAGTTCGAAAAAGATTCATTCAAAATAGTCGAAGAAGTGACTCTAAATACTCCCGATTGTACAGTGCAATCACAAACTAGTCAACTTTTAAGAATTGAATCGGGCAAAATTATTGATAGATCTGATACAGAACATGAAGATCATCTCCCAAATGCTAAAGAAATAAATGTGACTGAAGATACAGAAGTCTGATACAAAAACTTTTCTACCACTGATTGGTCATATTTGCAATTTCCGAACAGGAGAGTTTACAGAAACTTCGACAAAAATTGAGCACAAATTAGGCTATGTGAAAAAAAAAACTTCCCAGAAACTCCAAGCGGGTGCGTTATTTAAGACGAAGTGTTCATAATTTGATTTGAACGTATGTGACTCGCTTAAACAGTAGCCATAAAACTGTTGGTGATGATCTTAACATTCTAAACCAAGTTTGAACGTGTTTCAGCGCGACTTGAATTTATTCGAGATTTTGTTTCACATATACTTAATAACGAATTTTGCTTTGCCATTTATTTTATATCTATTAAAATTGTAATCAATGTATCTTTGTCAAGTATCTCTTCAAATACATACAATGATTTGCTGTGAAACCTTTAATACGAAACTTAGACTGGTAGCTTACTGTTAGGTATATAATTGTTGAGTATGAAACAATTAAAGACAAAAAAAATATTCAAATCGCGAACTAATGTTTTTTTGCATCTTTTGTGTTATCTATAATTTAAGTTATGATACTTTCCCATTTCCGTACTAAATAATGAATGCGCCGTCCGAACAACATCACAAGACCTTCCACAGAGGACTAGAAATTTTGCAAAACGTGCAAGAAACTCTCGTTTTGGACAATCCATTAATACCGTGATTTGTATCTGCTATCTGTTTAGTAATTTGCATACTTATGGTATGCGATACATTAATTTAGTTTTCGAAAACATTAACGGCTCATAATTGAAAGATTTATCCACTACGTGAGTATTTAGTACCGTTCCTAATTTTGTTGGTGAAAAGCAATATTATATAGTATACATGTGTTTATGCTATCTGTCGCCATTTTAGTACGGTCTCACACAGGCCTTATGGCAAAAAAAGGCAAATAAGTTGAAATTAGCTTTCATAGATGTGCTAGAGGCCACTGGTTCTTAAACTTTTTGAACCGCGCCCCCCTTTGGAAAATTCTACACACTTCGCACCCTCCCCTTTTTTGCATTGAAAAAATGCTTTTGTGGTGGGCAGGTTGTTTTATATTAAGATAGCGCTGTAAGAGTGTTTGTCTCATAGCGTCATTTCTCAGATGTTCAGGCATAAAACGCTTCGGAGTTCAACTTCGCCATTCACTGTCGTATGTATAAAGTCATACTCTAATAGTGATCGTCATACATTCTCCTTTTTACGCTCAGTTTGCAATATCTGCTAACGTCAAACAAAGTTTTGAGTAAATTTAAGCACGCAATAAACGTATGATTTTTGCGCTTTAATGTATTTCCTGCTTAAACGTTTACATAAGACGCGTAAAATTCCAATCAATTGTTTACTTCATCACTATTGAGCAATGCAAAAAATATTTACTGTGTGTTAACAATACACAACAATTACAGACTTCTTGGCTTGCCTAACATCTTCAAAATTTACTACCAATACTTAGGAATGGGCAATATAGGATAATTTACTATTCTAGAATACTTAAATCGAATCCAGAATACCGAATCCTATACTATTTTTTTTATTCAAATGTGGGAATTCTTTCACCCAGTTTATGGATTAGGCCTACAATTTTAAAAATGTTGATGTACTACAACTTTGTATTTAATTGAAAATACCCTGAGCATTGGATTTTATTTGTTACCAAACAGGACAATGAGGTCTAAGATTTTTTTTATGAAAATTACTTTTTGCTTTGAATTGTTCAAAATTTGAGTGATCCCTAAATACTTATATATATGTTAAAATAAAATAGGTCTGAAAAAACATTCCTAATTATTATCAATACGTGAGCGCCGAAAACACACAGACCAGACCGAGGCCGTATGATTGCCTTCACTTGGTAGGACGGGTTAATTAATGGTGTAAAATAAATTTAACAACAATCAAATACAATCAAGTATGTAAGCGTGTTTATTTTCTGTGAAAAAAACTCGTAAAATAACATCTATAGACGAATTCATTTCCATTACAAAATCTTAATTTTCAGTTATCATCGTTATACATATATCTACACAGACTTGGCGATACGTTTTGCATAATGTCAGTCAATAGTTGAGGACTGACTGTCTTCACCGACTACGTGTGGCAACTTTTTAATTTATCGCCAACTAAAATACCGCCTGACACTCGACCAAACGTGTGTCAAGCTTGGACGATAGGAACTTTTCACTTTATCGCCAACCAAAATACCGCCCGACACTCGACCAAACGTGTATCGAGCTTGGACGATAGGAACAGATTCGTTGGCTAATGGAATTCCGTGAAATATGTATTTCATTGGAAGTGCAAAATAAATGTAACAAAACGCCTTGTTTTGCGATATAATTTTGTATTTTCCGAAACGAGATGCCGTAAAAAATAAAACTTGATCTAAATTAATCGCAAATAATGTTTTAACATCTAACTTTGTATTTTCGGAAACGGGGTGTCATGAAAAATGTAATTTGACTTAAATTAATCACAAATAATGTTTTAACATCTAACGTCTTGTACACATGATTTCCCGGTGGAACTCGAAAACTAAATATAATTGGGCAGTTGGTCACACATTATTATGTCCGCGGATTGGCGTGGTATTTTAAATCGGCAATGAGTTTATTTTGTCGTGAGTCGTCGCAACCGCGATTTACCTTGAACACAAATAAATTAAAATAGAGAGACATTTTGAATTCTTGTAGTTGTCATAGATTGAATACTACGAAACAGAAAAATTCTTATACCGCGAAAAAGCCGAACGCGGAGAGCGTTTCAGGAGCCGTTACGTGGAAATTTCGTAGTGTGTTCGTAGTCAATGATTTCGTGACGCCAAAGTAAATCTTGAAAACCTGTCATTTTGTAAATCTGCGGCTTTAATAAAATGACTTATTTATCCGCACCCACAAATCATGCAACATTCCTAGCAAGTACGTGACATGATTATTTTGAACTGATTATGCGGACAAAGCCTTAAATAGAAGCTACGGCGCTAGCCTTGTATCGGTACAGTGTAGAATTTCATGTAAACTGAAAATATATCATGAAGCTTATATAAGTACGGATGGATATCAATTTTACATATTAGAAGCAAGGCTGAATCAACGATAACGTTATGCTCATATGGATTAAGCAGGCGTGGGGGAACGCAGTTCGGGGCTAGGCGGTTTAGTTCGTCACGCGATACTCCGCAGCAATTTTTTTCTAAAGCTTTAGAAAAGTATTGACGTGCATAAATGTAATTTTGTTACAAATTTTATCAAAAACACACACCTTATTCTTGAAAATTCAAACCACTTCGCTAAAATTACAAGTGAAAGTGCTCTTAGAATTTGAATTCAGAATATAAATACGACGAAGCCAGACGTTTGCCTAACCCTATTCCAAGCTGGTGTAACCATGAATTACAATCTGGTTTCCTGAGGAATATCGCTTTCTAGTTTTGCATTGAAATAACTTTGAACAGAGCAAAATAATTTGCGAAATACCTCGTTTACTATTATAGTCTGCTAAAATATTTTAACCACAAAATGCATTCTATTCCCTGCTGCTATCGCTATAAATAAAACAGATGTGAACACTATTTAAATACCCTTGAATACTGGCCAAACAATTTTAAATGTTGCGTGACTGTATAACAGCAGACGAGGTTACACATGCAGCTATTTATATTTATGTACCTTTATTATACAAGTTTCATCGTCCAGGAGAAACAAAATCTGAATTGACGTCAACTGAAAATGAGGTATTTCAAAGTTAATTCTCGTCGTTTCCGTTACGAGAACCCTTCAAATATATCCATTGTTGTAAGCTGTTAGAATAAATGCGCTGGCAGTCTGGCAGCTCAGGACTAAATTTCAAGAATGCAACAATGTCGTTTGACCACGTTGGTGCTAGCGTCTACAAAAACGAAAGTATATTTTCACGTAATATTCTCTAATATTTTGATAATGGGTTTAACACGAATGCCCTGGTTTAACAAAGCGGAACTGATGTCTAATGTATAAAAAGAGTCGTTGCGAGTGAAGATTACATTTACAGTCGAAGAGAACAACAGCCGTATAGGCCTGGGATATATGCAAGTTTGTTTACACCGCATCTGGACACCAACAACAATACTTTTGAATCCGTTGGCATCATAACAATATATAAATACACTTGTTCAGCAAACGACAAAGTGGCAACATCAGAAATGTTCAAAGTGAGTAATTCAAAACAAAAATTGTCAAAGTAGTATTGCATAGATGGCCATTGAGCAAGTTGAAATGACGTGACTTTTTATTTAAGACTCACTTTGACTATATTAAAGTTAGGTATGGGGAACAGAAGAACGAATTACAAAAATACGACAAATTAAAGCTAATCATTATTTTTGTTGAAGTTGAAGATAAATCGTCCGCAAGGATTTTCTGCCAATGTAGCAGTATGTTGGTAACGTGCCGACTTAGATAAAAAAAAACAGGCAATTGCCGTCAAAAAGCACTGATAGCATTTTTTGTTTATAAAACAGATGGACGAGTTACAGAGTTATTTGTCGTTTTTACTTATAACTTATTTAATTCATTTATCACAGAATTCAAACTCAGCAATTGCTATGCTTGTACTGCTGCAGCTGCGGATTTCTATGTGCTCACCCCGTCGGGCTTCAGAAACAAATGCTCGCTATATATCTACGTGCGTAATTGCTTTATAATTATATTTTCTATCCTAACCACGTTAGTTCAGTGACTTTTCTCATAAGAGACGTGATCATTTTGTATGTACAGCGTAGTATATTTTCTAGACCGACAAGCTGCAGTGAATAAAGACAATGTATAATAGACATGTATATAAACATTGGATCTTGATGATGATGTATACATTTATATATTATATTATATTATACAATTTTTTAATACTATAGGTTTTGTACAAATCATTGTGAACCGTCACATTCGCCCAGCAAAAGCTTAGTGGCCGACATTTAATAACGCAAAATTCGAATGGCGCAGAATTTTTCAAAATCAGCAAGATTAGGCACAAAAGCTGACGTCGCGAAGCCAACAAAAATATACAAAGAACGTGAACGATAAAAACAATTGGAGCTTTTGCAATCTAAGTATCGGAAAAACTACATTTATTTTCTAATTTCAGAAACAATATTAAAGAGTCTGCAGGTCGGCCAATGTATCGAAAAATCAGTAGAAAAATGGTGAGTTTCAGAAATTCTACTTCATGTTTCTTAAGTAATTACATATATGTCAAACTTACAATATATTTTTGCCATACATTCACATCACTGACGACGTCTTGGGTATCAATTTATAAATTTGTATTTTTTCGAAACTATGTTGTGAGATTTCGAAAATAAAAAAGAAACTCACTTATTAAATGAGACAGTCAAATTACAGCTGTTCCCCGGACCATGAAAATTAAAAAATCGTTGTCCATATATATTCCAATTGAGACACAGTCTTTTTCAGTCAAATAAATCTTCTCTGAATCCTCTAATAAATTTATTGTAATAAATTCAATTAGAGTAAATACAATTTTATGTCTTTGTTTATTTTAGGCTGATTGCGATTCTATTGTTGACTCACCAGTTCACTGTCCTTATATTGATGGATACTCCACTCATCCCCATGAAGAAAATCATGAAATAAGCGTTTCGCCGTGGATAACAAAGTAAATGAATTGTCTCTCAAAAACAAATTAAAATATCTAAATTTGGTTTTCAAATTAGAAAAATGGTTCAATATTTACTCTGAAATAATTTATATATATTAGTTATTATTAGAACATTGTTAAGCATATTGTGGGTACGTTGCTGATTACCCAATAGTCACCAGTTAGACCTCTATCCAAAAATACTAAAAAAAAATTGTTCAAGTATAATAGGGTCCATAGCCAGTTCAATTGAATATACTCCGAAACAATGAATGAGTTTGGTTATCACGTATTGCTGCGTCGTGAACTACATAGGTTAGCACCATTGGCTGCTACTTTGGTATGCGATCTCAGTGATTTTAGCTAGAAACTGAATTCTATCAGAATGTCTTGAGATTAAAAGCATACTTTGATATGCGATTAAGATTACGCTAAGCAAGTAAGGTCGCATACCAAAGTTGCACCCACCATTGTATGACCTTGCTTCTCGAGTTTGCAAGTTGAGAAGAGACCCTGGTATTCGAACAAAATGAGTCGACAGTTGAACCAAATCACTTCTAATTTGCACATCGAGTGTTAGTTCTTCATGGTATGTTAAAATATAAAGCAGTTCTTTGAATAGAATTTCGCAATGAACTGGAGTTCAAATATCTTCCCATACTATTAATAATTTAATTTTTAGACTTGATATTGATCCTACTCGATTGCCAGAAACTTTTCCAGTTGTATGCTGTACTTGCCGATATTGTGTGGATTTGTCAACAGGAATTCCGAAGCCTATGCTTGATCATTACAGTGAAGCCGTCTACGTAAAACATGAGGTTCGAAGAATGGAGGATGGGTTTCGATTACGATACGTCAAACTTGCCGTTGGATGTACATGTGTTTACAGACCCATATTCCCCTAATCGATTGTAATTACCAAGTCAGGATTTCTTTTTTATTACTGTATATATTTTTTATTTCCATTTTTTCTGCTTTAGACTAACATTATATTTGTACAGTATCTTATCTAGAGCTCAATACTAGCGCTTGACACCTATTTTCGTATTGTTGACTTTCTGACGCGTCTGTCGAATAAAACTTTGACTTCTGTTGAATTTTACATATGCTACTTCAATTACAGCAACAATTATGTATAATCTAACTTTAAGTTTTCAACGTTAAATTGTGTTCAAGAAATGTTTAAGTTTTGTGTATGATTGATTTTGATAAAAATGAGCACGAAGATCTTAAACCATTTTTCTATCGACAGCAAGTTATATTTATTGTTCCTATATTTCGAATTTTATTTTACCAGTGCTTATCAATAACAGTGAGATGAAATTCCTATATTATGCCACACAAAATACATGTTATCTATTGATCTGTATGAAATATATTTCGTCGAACTTAGGCATTGAAATCACGCCGTTCATTTAGCCCAGTGTAAATAGATCGCCTTGACTGCTTTGGGACAGAAACACTTTGCTACGGCGCAACTTCTTGAAAATAGTGAAGGGGCTGAAGAAAAAAAAAGTAATGACCTACTGGAAAAACAACTGGGAGAATTTCGTGTCTAACAATGATATATAACACAAATAAAATGTGTTGTCCAATTTTGAGACAACGGGACCGATTTGATTAGTGGTTAGGGTTAGGGAAAACATTCGGAAAGTCTGAACAAATTATTGTAATTGTTCGATAGGCTAAAGTTAAGTACACATTTTTTTTTATCAAATTTGGAACATTTTTATAATTCTCATTGATGATTATGTATTTCAATGAATATATTTAAAAGATTCCCGGAAGGTTCTGGAAATCTTGTACTTTATCAATTAACTATTGAGATACTGAAAAGCTTTAATTCGTTTTATAATTTTGGAATTAAGCTTATTGATATGTTTATGTGTTAGTATTGCAGACACGTTTAGTCTTTCTATTTCCAAAAGTTGTAATATATATTTCATCATCACCATTTAAGAAATATTTATGAACTCATTATATTTTTTGTTTGTAAATGTTCATTATCCGATCGTTGATTAATTTGTTTTGTAGATCATAGACTTTATTTAGTCCTACAGTTTACATCTCTTTGTAATAGTAATTAGTCAGGTTGTAACGCACGCCAAGTTTCACTTCAGTTCTCAGTATACAAGAGCTAGTAGGATGTTGTAAACTTTTTCTGTAAACAGTTAACGGCTGCGCATGCAAGTGTTCGGCAACTTCAAGTTGTTTTGAGGCTTAGTGATAGTTTGATCTTGGCTCCAAATAATGGAAATCGTTCGACTCATTAGAAAACTGTCACTTTGTTTTGGGCATTCTGACGATCTAACGAAGGTACAGTTGGATATTGAGTTGAACTAGTGCATGGTTCATATCATAACTATGACATAACAATTTTTCTCTCTATCTGAACTAGTGAAGGGAGATGAAATTCAGTATGGTAAATCGGCTGCCTCCGGTTAAAAAAAGCAATTTTGTAATAGTATGGAATTGAAAATTTATTTTTGACTATCATACTGCAAAACCGGGATATTTAGGTTTACCGCCGGGATGAAAGGCGGGACTGTCCCGGAAGTGTAAGCCAACTTATAATGGAATATGCAAGTGCTATTAGTGGCCGATAGATTGAATACGGCCAATATATTGCTTAGAAGTATTTAAATATGCTTGATTATGACGTTTACGATTGCAACTGTAAAGTGATTTAAGTATGTTTAAAAGGAAATGCGTGTTGCATGTTGATCACTCATTGTACAAGCAGTTCAACGACCTGATGTGATTCTAACACTAATTTTAACTAATTTCTAACCGCGGAGTTTGAATGAACTCTAATTCCGTAATTCAGCTTTAGAATACTAATTTAAAAAAGGGAAGATATAAGATTACAATGAACTCAAAAATAATATTTGCTGTTGCTCATCTTTTTCAAGATAATCACTCAAACACAATAAATTTAATGGCAGGAAGAACCATTTATTACCATTGTCAACTACTGTAAATAGTCCATTATTACTTGGGGTATGGATTAATGTGCTATTTCCCAATTATGTGCTAATTTGTGTTAGTTTATAGATTTCTAGTTTCTACAGCTCATATTGTTGTTTCAGACAAGTGTTACAGATAAAAAATATGCGTTTGAGATAAAATCGTCATTGGATGCAGATACCACTTTAGCATCGAATGAAGCTTAGCCTTACTGATATAAATAACAAGTCTTATGCCGGGAAAATTTGCAAAAAAGATAATTAAGAAAATGGTGATATACTTACGAGCAAATTGAGTGGCATATCATATACATAGTTCTCAGTTTGACTGGACGTCGTGCATGTGGCAGAACAGTAACATTTGTTTTACGTTCTATTTTAGATATAGGAAAAGCAGGGAAATTTTTTGAGCAAACAACCGATTTAAAACTGATAGGAGGGAATCTGACGATTCATTACTTCAATAAGAAAATTCTTTGAGATATCCTGTTATTCACAGGCTTTTTATTTAATAAGAAGAGTTGTTGAGTATGTCAATTTTCAATGAGGATTCTTGGTTTGTGTTAACATTCCATTGAAGACGTTTCATTCCTATTTTTTAAATTAGATATGCTACAGCTATAAGATGCAAAATTTCATTTTTCATATATTGTAATTCAATTTATAATCAGTAATCCAATTTATATTCAAATGATTTTTAGATAGCGCAATTAAACGACTATTCGCTTGTCATCGCAAAACAGGCTTGGTTTGTATAGTTTCAAACGGGCCATCGACCTTCCCGAGTTTACATTTGTCTTCGTGATTCAGCACTTTTCACCTTCGTAAGCATGTTGGAACAGAGGTTAGTAATAAGTCATCTATAATTTATGCTTATTCATCGCGGGTCTAAAAGTAAACCATTTGATTTGGAACCGCGAATACAGAGTACCTGTTGTCTAAAACCGGTAATTCGTAACTCGAACTACAATATATGATTGCGGTTCAACTCATATGTTGTTTACAAAGTAAACGTACTTATCATACAACAAAATATTGATTTAAGCAACCATTCACTAGATCGAAAATCGTCACTCCAAGCTTGACAACGCTCCTTCGATATTAAACCGAATTCACAGTTACAGATTTAAGACAGGAAACCAACTGAACATTTTTACGGTGTGCATATTGACCTGCATATAAAACCCAACTCAAAAGTATCTACTCATTTCATTATACTATGAATATCCAACACAGCACAATATCACTGTACCTTGCCGAGGCATTCTGGACTAACTTTTAATTAAAATCTAATTTTAAAATGGCGGAGAGAAAAGGATGTTTCGGAGATATTAGAACATTTGTAGCGTGCTATGGAATTCTTGTCCTTACTGACGTGAGTTTCAAATATTTTGATTTTGTTTTGTATTTTAGCAAAATGATTTATGTGGTAAATGTAGTTCAAGCAAAGAATCGGGCCAAAAACGCGATAACCATATGATTTGTCCTTCCCTTGATAAAGACAAGAGATGAATGAAAGCATCTTGAGTTACCAATGCTAATTTTTAATTCCTTTTCGAATGGTTGAGGTTTGTCGTGGTTGTGTCGAAATTAACTCAACGACCTATTGGCGAGTAGCAGATTGCAATCAAAAAGACCATACGAAATTATCTCCTAATGTATGCATTAAATGAGGAGAAAGCTATTTTATTCCAACAACAACAATAAGATAATTTCAACAACAACAATATAATTTAGTAGTATGGTCCATTTGTGCAATTCGTTTTCAACAAGCAAAACATTTTTTTATTCAGATCATGGCTGGTGTAATGAAGAAGAGTTCGCTCACTACACTCGAACGACGCTTCGATCTACCAAGCACAATTATTGCATTGCTTGCTTCCAGTTTTCAAATAGGAAACTTGACAATGTTGTTGTTCGTCAGTTATTTTGGATCTCGGTGGCACAGGTACGGTATGATTCTTATGGCAAACGTAATACTTAATGTTGTACACAATAGCGTCGATAACGACAAAGAAAGTATTTCGTTAAAACAGAAAGGTTTTTCAAATTACATTGAACAATATAAGTGATAATTATTCAACCAGCGACCAGCAGTAGAATCGGCTTTGATGATGCATTTTAGGTTGCTCACTGTCGACAATTTATATTGTCAACGATTATTAGACTACAGCTATACTCGAAGAAATTTACTTCGTTCATAGGAAATGGGACCCAATTATGATGCACGAGACAATGATGTATAAAGGTTTATTAATCATGAAAAGTGTAGCGATGAACATCAAATATATTACACAATATTTTGTTCTGAAAATTTTCTTTATTCATAGTGAAAAAATGCTTAGTGTCTTAGGCCGAGACAGTTTTGGGGTGGCCTTTTAGACAGTTAGGTGATTTGTTTCAGTTTATAAATATCTGGTTCGAGGTAAAATTGAGCATTTTTAATCATCTCATTTACATAGTTCCACCCTCACATACTTGCAGGCCTCGTGCTATATTTTGTGGATCCGTATTGCTAGTAACTGGTAACTTGATCGTAACTTTGCCGCAATTTCTTGGAGGAAGATATGAGTACGATGACGTGAGCTCGAATACATCTACAGCTCAAATAAGAGAATGTGCTGATAAGTAAGTTTATTATATTTCCCAAATTTTTGTTCAATCTCTTAAATTATCCATTTTAAAGAGCGAAAAAAACTTGTATAACAAACAAAATTTAAACAAAAGCGACATAAGTTACTTGTCCGAAATTCTAAAAGTTACAATCGCTTATAATTTCACCAGCATGAGAAGCTGGAAGAATATATTTTGTTCAAGGTAGTATACCGGAGTTAAAATACTTGAAACTGCACTTGCTATTCCGGCCAAACAAATCTAACGAAATTGGTTTATAATCAAATTTATTTCTTATGCCCCGGTAGGCATAAGTTTAGTATAACGACCAACGATGCTAATTATCAAAGATGATTCCAAAGGTACCTTAAAAATAATAATACGAAACTGATATATTGACTCTTAAAATATCATGAATTCTTTCATCAATAATTCACAACCAACTTGTGTTTATTTTCATGTATATGTAATACAAATTTAAGATCCCTAATAAATGTCGTTAAATGGCGCATTTTAAATGTTAAAAGATTATTCAGTGAAATGTGACTGATTACTGTTGCTTTCTCGTGCCTTTATAAATTGCTTTCAATTTTGGTTGGATACCTTTTCATGTTGCCTTCTACCTTATTCTAGTGTCACGGACATTTCAAACAATAATTGTGAAAACAAAACGCCGACGAATCAACTTTATATATTACTAGTTGTTGGAATGATGGTGAATGGTGTTGGAGGAACTCCAATTCAACCACTTGGTCTATCCTACATCGATGACTTTGCTCACGAAAGAAACTCTCCATTATATTTAGGTAGGATGATGGCGTTGACTCAAATTACGTGAAAGTAATTCATGCACCCCATAGGTAATAGAACATAATACTATTTGAATGCACACGAAAAATCAGGTAACAAATGTACACATATCCGAGTGTGAAAATAACTTGCGCCGCTCGTTGAAATAATTGCCTACATTATTTTTGTAACTCTTTATCCGATAATTCTCATATTATATTGTATGTTTAGTACTTTAAATACTCAACTCTCACTTCCATGTATATGACGTTAATATGTTGTTTTGTTACATTGCATTACTATACTTTCTATGAAAAAACTCATATGTTTCAGGTTTAACAACATCAATAGCGCTTCTTGGTCCCATGATTGGATATGTTCTCAGTTCTGTCGTACTTAAATGGTGGGTGGACATTGGATGGGTGGATACAGGTACATAGCATAAATAAAATAAATAGCATAAATAATTTATAGTTTGTAATTGAGTGTAACGCAGATTGATAGTAGTAATTTTGTTTGAACAGCTGAAATAACGATAACACCAACACATCCGAGTTGGGTTGGAGCGTGGTGGCTTGGTTTGATTATTTGCACAAGTGGAATCGCGATCACGATGATTCCATTCTTGTTTTTTCCAAAGACTATGAAGAAACAAGAAATGAAGGTATATGACTAGATACCGTCGATTCATTGGGTACTTGTACACATAACTGGTGCATATTATGATAAAAACATTTGTGATCAATTTGTGGGCACATTTGTGCCCAGGGTGGTCCGAGGTTGTCGGCTCCGCGGGCCACAAAATTATTTTTGCATTGTTCGCGGGCCACAATAAAGCTAAGAATAGGTGAACAGTGCAATACAAAACAAACACTTTTATTGTGCAAACACATAGTTATCAGGCATAGCCATTCTAGGCTAATAGAAGCCGCATTCGATTTTTAGTTTTTTCTGATGCCTTTATTGTTAGCATATATTCCCGACCAAAAAGTTAGAAAACCAGATAACAATTTAGACTGACAAGCACATTATTCAACTTTGCTAGTTGCCTCAGCTAGCCATAACACTATTTAATTCAGTGACATTAGTGACGACAATATGTCAAAAGATTTTTCTGATTAATTTTATGACGAAATCACACAAAATGGGATTTTTTGATTACTCTCCGAAGCGGCGGGCCACATGTTGCCCGCGGGCCTGGGTTTGGACCACCCTGTTTTAGCCAATCCAAAGAATTAAAATAATCTGAAATTTAGTATTCGGATGTCTTTATTACTTTGTAAATGATGGAAAATAATTTCAAAATAGAAAAAGAAAAAACAAAAATTAGAATCCGACGAAAAGACTGAAGACGCCGAGGGCAAAGTGGAAAAAGAAAAAATGAAAGAAGAAGAAAATCAGACAACGTTTAAAGATGAAGTTAGGTGAGGCAAAAATGCCGCCACTCGCCGAATTCAATAATTGTGCTATAGATTATATTACCCTATTTTTAAATCATTCAATGCTCTAGATCAGAGGTTCTCAACCTTTTTTCTGTCAAGTACCCCCCGATTCACGAAACAATCAACGCTATCCCCGGTAATCTGACACCGAACAAAGTTGTGATACATTGACTGACAATTTGTAACTAAATTTCCCTGTTACTATTATTGCCCTAGTCCACCGCCTAACTAATGAATTCTTGAAATCCCCCTCAAGTTTCAATAGGCATATCACTTTCTCCAATTCTCGCAGCACGTTGTCTTTGGAGATTTTACAGTTTGCCTGCAAAGCCGTGAACTTCACATTGTTGCGTCACAATCACAACAACGCAAGATCAGGGAAAATCTATGTTTCATTGGCACCCAGTTTCAATCGGCACGCATTTTCCTCTGGTAGTAATAAAGGATATCAGTGTTGCATTGGGGAGCTTCCACCACATTTATCTCGTCGAATTGCCGTGTTTTGATTAATATATATTATTTTTATATTTTTCAGAGATATACCCGCTACTTTGAAACGTATCTTCAACAATCCCATATTTTTGCTGATCTTACTCAAATTTTATTTTGGAAGTGCATCATTAGTCGGAATTATAAATTTCTTACCTAAATATTTAGAGGTAGCCTTCGGAGTATCCGCCTCACGAGCAAACTTTTTCATGGGTGAGTTTGTGTTTGTGTTATATCAGTTACGATCGTTATTATTTTAAAAAAGTGGGTGAAATTTTGTTTAAATTATTTGCGCATATATAAATTTACATTCATGTATTCTGGTGAAAATTTCAATCCATAAAGCATGACCAATATATTATAGAAATATATTCTAGCAATACTTTATTGTTCTGTATTTCACAGAAGATATTGCAATTTTTCACTTTTTTTATTCACTTTATGCAGGTGTAATAAACATACCTTGCGTCGTAGTTGGAACTCTTGTCGGATCAATATTGATGAAACGTTATAACTTGACACCACCTGGTATTACCAAGCTCATAGGAATATCAACTCTTGGTGCAGCAATATGTCTCATACCTATGTTGACAGTTGGATGTGAAACCATCGATATTGCGGGAATCACAGTTCCGTATACAGAGGCGTAAGCGACACCATAGTGCACCGCAGTTTCCCCACATTGCGCAAAAAACTCAGTGTTAAAATAATCTTTGAAGATAACGTAAATGCCAGTTTTGGTTACAACTCAAAGTCAGTAAAAAGGATTTTCTTACTTCATTTATATATTCAACACACTGGAGCGTTCATAGATTATATATATTGGTCGATATATCAAAGACAACACTCACTAAAATACCGGTTTTTATATAAAATAAATACATAAAAGAGAAAGAATAATATATTTATTCTTCAATTTTTTTCTTCGAACAACAGATCCGGCAATATTCCAACGCTTCCCAATGAAATCAGTTCCTGCAACATAAACTGCGGATGCGTCGACGGCACTTATACACCGGTTTGTGGGTCCGATGGAATTTCTTACATTTCACCCTGTCACGCAGGTTGCACAGGATCAACTGATGGAGAAGTAGGATCAACAAAGGTAAGCAGTGCTTCAAATATTATTAAAAAAATTGCGGACGGATGGGGAAGATCTCGTCTTCATGAGCTCCCATACTTAACAGATGAGCAACCAATATATATACGTAATAATATTAGTAACTATTTTATAAGGCAAGCAAGAAATCTGCGCAAATATAACTTTGCGTTTTCGAATACCTAATTTTACTTTGTGAACAAGGTGTTTACGAATAGCAACATAAAAATTATATATAAAATGTCTTAGAGGTGCCGGCGATTCCATTTGTTGCGAACACATCTGCATAAACATTTAATGCCTCATTCAATGATGTTGTTGTAGCCTACACTCGGAACGAAAATCCTCCCGTGGACCGCGTTAGGAAGACCCATAATTGGTATTGTTTCTGAATTCAGGTTCAGAGCAACTGCGAAGGCGCCTCATTCAGCACCAAATTATAATGTAAACTCAGCAATATAGTATCTTGGTAATACCATGAATGTCAATGGAGAGGGGAACTATAGCAACCGACTTTATTTTATAAATGAGAAGGAGCAATACATATTTATTTTCTATCAATTTTTAATAGCATCACTTATTTAGTCAACCAAGCTATTGACTTTACACAAGTTAACGGAAGAAGGTGCTTGTCAATATACGTGTTAAATATTTGCTATGTGTATTTTTGATTGCAATGATGTTAAGTAGGGCGTACACACACATCTGACCTATGTATGATGCAAACGAACGAAAAACAAAATGCAACCGAGCAACATAATATGGGAGATCAATTGAGCGCTTTATTAATGGCTTATACTAATCCACATTATCGGAAGGCAATGAAATATGTGACACTAAAAAAATCCAGAATAAAAATACTAACAACAAAGTATTCAAATAATTTCTTGTTTTGAGAAATTCACTGAATGCAGTTGTATAAGCATGAATGCGACGAATGGCAAGGATCCAGAATCTGCATATGCCACTCCGGAAAGATGCGAATTCAGCAAATGTCCCAATTTACTTTTCGTGGCACTGGCATTTAAAGGAGCCGCAAGTTTCTTCAGTGGATTAGCAGGAACCCCCATGTATATATTTATGATCAGGTAACCATAACAAATCAGTCGTCTGGTTGATTTTTTCATATTATTGTAACTTCGTTTAATACAGGGTGATAAAAAAGTAACGCAAAATTAACAGAAGTTAAGATTAAATGCTATTTAAAACATTTATCGACTGACACCTGTTAACAGTATTGAATTACGGCGAAATGCCATTCGAACATTTCACGACAGACGCTTTTTAACAGTTACTTTTTCAACGTTGCCATGACAAATTATTTCACCTTAATTTTGCGTAACTTTTTTAACACCCTGTATATAAGGAAACATCATGCGCGGTTTGATTTGAACGTCAATAATATTGCAATTCATTTCATTTTTCAGATCAGTTCAACCTAAAGACAAAGCATTTGGTATCGGAATATATCTATTGTTTACCAGATTACTTGCGTGGATACCTGGACCTTTAGTCTACGGTGCTCTTATAGATTCAGCATGCCTGTACTGGGGTAGAAAACCTTGCACTGACAAGGCATATTGCAAGGTAAAATATTCATGCGCCGATGTGATTGTTTTTTCTTCAAGGGCAAACAAAATTAAATACGTCGTAAATCTGCAAAGCGATATAGTATTTAAAACATGTTTATCTAGTAGTTCATTGCGTGGGAAGGTAAGAATACTGTATCCTGTACAGTGTACAGTTTTTAGGAAAAATAATTGTAGCATGTTAAACTTTTATGAGTGAACAATATATCATTATCTTCTCGCCAATATACTACGAAAAAACATTTCTGTATACAGGTTTATGACAATGAAAGTTATCGGCTCAGATTTTATGGACTCATGATTATATTCAACGTATTTTCGCTCATCACAATACTCGTACTACACATTGTCACGAAAAAAAAATATGCTAAAGATCAGGCAAAAAAGAAAGCAGAAGAGAAGAAAAATGAGCAAGAATCCATTCAAATCAATGGGAACGGAACAGCAGTCGAACTAAAACCCCAGTTTTCCGTTACGGATAACGAAACGTTGAGTGAAGACCAAGTACTTTTAACTGGCGAAAATAAAAAGACTGGCATTGCATGAAGACTTCAGATGAAGTTGTCATTATATATATCTTTCTTTTGAACAAGTTTAATTTCTTAACATACATTATACTGTAACATTTGAATTTGCAATTGACTGATAAACGAAAATTGAATGCGTTTTAAGAGAAAAGCATTTATACAACGAATAATCAATCATATAAAGATAATTTTGAAATAATCTGTATGAGAAAATCAACAACATTGTAATAACAAAATTTGGAGTATTTTCAGTTGTGATGTTGCTTCAGATTTAATCAATTATTATTTGACTTGTCGTTAATTCAATCTTGAACCTTTAACACTTTTAACATTAGATTTGCCCAACTCATAATTTGGAACAGTTGTAACTACCTATGTAACCAAGAATACCTTGGGCCACCCGCAATCTACGCTTAATGAATTCGCTTCAAGAAGCATTGCGAATTAATTTAATGCTGAATATTCCCGTCAGCCAAATAAATATTCATATCTGAAGCTTAGACAATAAAGCATATTTACGGACCACGTGAAAACTAGTTCAGATCCTTTAAGGGGCGTTTGTGAAACAAATTCAGGTTTTTTTCATAAAATGGTCAAACTTTTCTGTTGTGAACTGTTATTTTCTTTGCATTCAACACACCTGAGACATGGAAAGACTAGGGGCACTGTGCTTATCTCTATACATTTGAATTCTATAACCAAGAATCTGTAGTTCCCGGACAAAATATTTCAAAACGAATTCCCCACCTTTACACACTACCAGCCTGCAGGAATATCCACCTGTTGGCCTAGCAGTCTTCAAACTTTGGTATAAGAAGGTGCATCTCTGTCAACCATTGCAGTTGCAGAATGAACAATCTTCCTTCTAAAAATAGGTAATAAACTCCCTGACACTAAGCAGCCTGCATAGTTCATTGTTTCGGGTCCACGTGGGGTGCAAACAGATGGTAGGAATTACTAAAATGGTAATAGAACAAAAACTATTTACCTAGCTTTCAATTGAGGAGTAGGCATATCAACTTTTTGATACAATAAATATGCTTTTGGATAATATTTATCTTTTACGTCAAACACAAGATCACACGCCTGAATCCGCGAGACAGTATCATGAAAATCCTAGTTGATTGCAAACGTTTTTACAGTTCAGCTGTTAGAAATGCTCTCCGGGATAGAAATATGTTATGGAAAGACAAACTTCCGGTGATTACCCTCATATACAGTATAAAAAGTTTTCCTAAATATTTTTGAAGAAATTACTCAGTCGCAGGAACCACTGACCAGTATGCAGTCTTGCCTAAGCTAAGTGTACCGACAACTAGGATAAACAGTTGGTATTGCTTTAGTGCTTACTAAATTAGCTGGAAAACCGCTCGACTGAACATTTTTACTGCCTGTAGCAATCTTTATTAATACTATAAATCTATAATATATATTCTTTTCGCAGCAGTCAGAGTTCCATTTCACCATACAACTACGCAGCCCGAAGGCTCATGGTCTCGGCAGTTCTGGTTCTACTGCAGCAGAAAACTCGCCTGAATTTAGTTGCGGTTAACTATCTTTTATGATACCAGAAAGCTAGCGTAGAACATAACCAGCTCGAAGGTACCTGTGCAGTAGGTTCCCCAGCTTTTCATTTTAGGGGGGTGTTTCGAAATTTAGGGGGTGGTAAATAATTTGCTATCAGCGATGAAAAAATATTTGTATTCTTAAAAAATTGGTATGTATTTAAGAAACGATGTACCTGAGGGGTCACCCAAGTTGATCGACGGCGAACCACAATACACAGCAGAATAAATTGTAGGGCCAGAAAAGGGGGCGAGGAAAAGTGCGCGACGACACGGCTGGGGTTCAGGAGAAATAGGCTCTAAGCTTGATTTTAGATACACCTAGCATCGCAGTTTTTTATGTAATGAAATCAATAATTATAATATTTACCTGATAGAATAAATAACAAGCACGGTTTCAGCAAGTAATTTGCAACTAACTGACAGTGACTAAGGAAGTTACTTGTTCATCTAGCATCTAGGCTTGTTTTGTTACACATTTTACATTTTTTTGAACACGTTTGTTTGACTTTTTGTATGAATTAAATTTTGAAATACGCGCGTCAACCGATCATAATGGCGCATAATGTTGTATTCCTTCAGAACTGAAATCTTTTGTTGGCAAGGAAGACAAATCCCTGAGGTTTGATTCTTTCCAATAAAGAAATAAAAACGATGCCATTCATCTAAAAAATGTCTGTTTTCAGTGCCTAGTTTTGGTTTTGTGACACCTTCAAGCTTTCTTAATATACGGCTGATATCTGAAATACTGCAGTGTGTAATCCTAATACCCATACGATAAGATATCGGTATAATTCAATTGTTACGAAATAAACGTGCTTAAACTGTGCTAATGATGTAACCATAGACGGTATCTAAAACTCAAAAGGCACCACATGAAGTGTTATACTATTTCCTTCAAGTTCGGCGGGCCATTTTAAATCGTTACGCGGGTTGGAACCCCTCATCTACACTGATAAATATCGTTATATTTGAATACAATTATACTTGAGTTAGGAATTACAGTGTTGAATGGCACCTCAAAATTAGGGGGGTGTTTGAAATTTTAGGGGGGGGGGGGTGTTCACCCCCTATAGATGGGGTGTAGGAACATTACTGCTCCGTGCTCAAAAACCAATAGCATAGATGTATGGAAAGTTTGTTTGTATTCGTCACTTTGCAGTTCTGCTTTCTGCCACAGCATTGGCAGGGCAAAGTTAATGGCACCACTTTCAATTTTAGGTGCCAATCTTTGCTAATATAACAAATACGTTTTGTGACGTGATTGTCAAACTATCCAGTGGCTCATCCGTGTTAAGCTGTCAGTCTGACGTGAGCATCTGACCCTAAATTTAAAGATTTCGACCTGGCTCTTAAATGGGTGCTCTCGTGTACCAGGTTAGGGTTAGGCCATAATTTTATTCCGATTTTCCTTATTCAGCTCTATCACGAGTTCGTTAGCCAAGTGAATATACCACCTGCCCATAGGCTTCAGTCCCTTTAAACAACTTGATGTAAAGCAGGCGAACAAAATTAGTTACCGCCATATTGATACAAACGCTTGTGGAGCACCCTTAAATGTGCCTAAGCTAAGTCAAAATGCTCCAAATTTCCCTCGGAGACGAGTGACTACTGGCTAGTTTGTAGGTTCACCTCTCATATGAGGTGGTTGGTGTTGTCCTCTCACTATGGCTGGTAAAACAGGCGGTAATGCTGACTGACGTGGTAGTAATCAGGCAAACCCTCAGATTTAACTCTTTATTTTGGGACCCAATCAATGTTACTAATAGGCATTCTTCAAAATATTTCCCTGTCACCGAAGCTGCTGCATTGTCTACATTTTCTTCGATTCGAAACTGTTAGGATAGCTACGAAGTTCGTATTAGTCACCCTGAGCAAGACGGACACTTTGGGCTTATTTTGAATTCGGCGAAATAGAATCAGGTAGTATTGATCACAACCAAAGGGTGAGCAAGGTCTTTGGTTTTGCTGAATTTTTCACAAAAATAACGCCGTTTGGCTGATATAACAAATGACGAATTTTCAAGTCCCAGAATTTAGTCTATATATTTTCTGTACCAGTACGACGTATTTTACTATATACTGAAGAATCGAAAATTCTAACTCAGCGGTTTTCAACCTGTGGTACGCGTACCACCAGTAGTACGCGGGCGGTTTTGACTTATTGCAACAATTAGCTTTTGAGTTGGGTAAAATATGGCGGAAACGATTTCTCTTTATCTTCCATACTAAATGTATTCGCTGAACGGGTTTATAGCGTTAGCAGTTCTCGTCTTTATAGCTCGCCCGCTGTTGCCCACCTAAAAGGAAACGAGACGGGCATGTTTTCGCCGCAATGTACGTCCACAAAGTATCTACGTTACGAAATCGGCAACGAAGGGAGCGTTTTGCGGGAGTCGTCGACGCGTGTCGAGATACCTTGATACATCCTAACGGTGTTACCATTGCTACCAGATGTACGTGTTGGCTGATCGGCATAATTGAAAGCTAGCGCCGACCAAAGTGTATTCGTCCGAGTTTTGCGATAATTCGATTCGTTTCGCGATGATTAAAGCTATCCAGCTCTGACGGTGAATTCTCTCGTGATTTTGCACGCAATTAATACGTTGTTACTGCATATATATATATAATAAATACTTTGAAACTTTGCACGAAGGTCTGAAAATGGATGTAGTGCCACATAATATGCTATCGTATCGCGTTTCTTGTGCCATTGTTCCCCCCACAAATTTTTCTTTTTCGGTGGTACGCAGCCAGAGTGAAAAACACAAAAGTGGTACGCGGCCAATAAAAGGTTGAGAAGCACTGTAAATCTAACTAATATGGTGGAGTTTCTAATTTCTTTGATTTCGCGAGGTTTGAATACAAAGAGGCCGGTAAGTTTTGAGATCAATTTACGTCATCAAAATTGCTGCATATTGCACTATTCAAACTGATATATCTAAATTATGTATTAATAATAAACACACAAATTACGATTATTTGCATATCTAAAAAATTTAGTACAGATAAACCTCCATGTCATGAGTAATATATGGTGTCATATTTTTGGTAACGACATTTAGAAAAAACAAATAAAAAATTATTAAAGCTAAAATAATCGGTATATGAAGCATTTCCAGGGGTGAATAGCTCGACAAAAGAACTTTTTTCATCTTTCCAACTCGGCATTTTGTGACACTTGGCCCCCAGAAAATGTAAGTCTTGTTTCATTGTCAAATATTTAGTTATTGAGCGGTAATTTCGGCTTTATTTTTTTCTTTTGCATCTTCAGCTATTTGAAGCAATGTCTTTTCATTCAGTTTTAGTTCATCGCTACTTTCGGATCCAGTTTCGGAAGCCAGCCTCGCGGCGGCACGAAACGATGAACTGGGCTCTTTTAGTAAAACTTCATTCTCTTTATTCTTGGCTGCTTTGTATTCATCTTCTATATCGCCTTCGTTACTTTTGTTCTTAACTATGCACCATATTATAAAACAACAAATACACGCACCTATATCTGCGCCCACTATAATGGAATAAAATGTCGTTCTGTAAGCGTTGCTGTCATATACCTGGAATAAATATAAAACTATGATTGTTCAAATTGTTTTTAGGCGATTATATACTATGCCCACTATGATTTAATATTGATACAGAAATTTAGAAAATCATTCGTACACCAACTTTATACATGTCGCCATTTTTACTAAACGTCGGCATTGATATTAGTAACAATGTATGAGATAGGATTTATAAGAAAAGCATCACATCGACTGCTTGATGCTGATTATATGTGGTGCCGGTGGTGTACATTCTCACGTTTTCAAAGACCAAACGGTCGAGAAATATTTAAAAGATCATATATATAAAAGTATTAAAAAATGAGACTGAGTCATCATGTTGGAGAGAGTTACTAGAAGTGGCATAATTCATATGAAACTGCCGGCAAATTGGGACATCTTCTAGATCTAGCTAGAAGATATATGAGTTTATAAAAAACGTTATCTTCCAGATTAAACGTAGTCTTGGCTAATTATTTCATACGAAAATTCGTATCCGGGCTCGAAAATAATTTCAGTATACTTCAGTATATGATATATCAAACTTTATTGCAATTCAGGGCTAGTCGTCTAATTTAGAAATAAACATTGAAATCTGTTGTTGATCAGATATATTTATTGGGTTTGAATTTTGATATATAAATAAATCTTCCGTTTTTGAATGTAAACATTTTGCCTAATAGTTTTCCAATATCTTATTATGTCTTACCCTGCAATACCCTTTATCACTGCATGAACTTGTTGCCCAGTATAAGCAAGTGGAATCAATTGCCTTTCCATAAATCATTGGCCCAGGTATCCACGCTAATATACGTGTCACCATGAAAGCAATTCCGATTCCGAACGCTTTATCTGCTTGGCTAACACTTCTGCAAAAATGTAGAAACCACCGTTTTGTTACAATGAATGTTTGAAATTTTTTTTTTTCACAATGGTAACATGCAAAAACACAGTCAGACAACAAACAATGAAACCCATTTGCAATGGTGCGGACCAGCCAAAGATATCGCACATTCCCGAGTTGACGGGTATTACAAACTTAACCATAACAAGTCTACATGAAATAATAGATATTCTGATACACTTAATATGGGCAAAATCACAGTTGAACAAGTTGTAAGATAAGTTGTGTTTAAAAAAATGTTGGAAGATAATTACGATGATCTGTAACTAACTAAGTTAGTACTTCATGTCAAATAGACCATGCTATTTATATTAATTATTCTTTGCTAAATGTCGTTCAGATCTATTTCCCACCTCATAAGAAATATATAACCAGGTGTTGCCCCCACTCCTCCAGCTAGACTTGATGCCGCTTTCAAAACTAAAATGACAAGAACAAGGTCTGCGCACTTGCTTCTCTCGCAACGTTGTGGAAACGACCAATGAGCAGTATCATTAATATTGCCATTGGTAGTTGGATGGACGCAGCTACACTCTGTGTAATTCTAAAGCAATAAGGGGGGAACAAAATGAAAAGTATATCAAAATAAAAGTAAAATACATTATTTTTTAACTTGAAGTCCTGCTACACACAAATACGTATTGAGGTTTTCTGCAGAATTTTATTACTTTTCAGGCAATAGATTTCATATTGACATGTGTGTTGTGTTGAACTGCCTGAAATCGTTTGATAAAATCGAACTTAATAAAACGATTGTATGCTAAATAAAAAGCTATCGTCGTAATTTATATCATCGTATTTATATTAAATCTATATAAGCCAGAACGCAGCAACTAATGCATAATGATGAAATTTTTGTGTTTCATTAGCGCAGAAGTAAGTACCGATTTGATGTTGACATATACGCTCATACGTACTTGAATCTGGCCTGGAACCTCAGAGAACGTATTTTGACATCCAGCGTGACATGGCGTGAGATAAGTGATTCCGTCTGATCCACAAATTGGCGAGAATGTACCGTTTGTACAATAACAATCAGAGTTACATTGGCTATATGAATTTACAGCAAACTGCTTGTCACCATAATTGCTGTAAAATAGAAAAATACGGTGATTACCTTCTTCCCCGATATACGCACACGATAAAAAAAAATTGGGTACCTTTCTGGATACGGGACTGTTATTCCAGCGATGTCAATAGAACTGCATCCAAGAAAGGCTATAGGAAGAACACACAAGGTTGCGGCTATACGAGCAATGGTGACAATTTTTATCATTCCAAGTCTACTTGGATTACGACGTTTCATTATGAAACCACCAAGCATTGTTCCAACGGCCAAACACGGTATTGCAATTGCGCCTGAATATAAAAACATTTTATGTATATACTGAGCACGATAAAGTTAACAAGTCATAAATAGTATATAGGCTTGATGTGTATTAAAGTAAAACAAGAATACCTGTAACTCAAACACTAGATTTTCTTGACAGTCTACAGAAAACGAATATTAAGCGAATAAAAGGGAAGGATTTGTCATATTTTTGCCGCAGTCATGATAACTTTCGAAATGAAAGATTTCGTTTTCCAATGAACACAAATGAAAGGGGACACATAGGTCTGAAATTTTTTTTCGTTTCTCACTGTAATTATTTGGTGTATCCGATCTATGACGATTTTACAAAACCGACATGAATATATAAAGAATGCTTACCGTAATACATATTTGCTTTTGATGCCGATATTCCAAACTGAACTTCCAAATATTTAGGGAAGAAAGTTATTACCCCAACTATGCTCAATCCACCACACACCCACATCATTATCATCATTATGTACTCAATTCTTGTGAAAAGTCGTTTCAAGGCTTGTAAAATCCCTCTGGATATAACAGAATATTTCAGATATACCTTTACTATATGTTGTCTTCCCAATGAATCAAATATTATAAAATTAGTGAGGTAAAACTGCTGAATCTCACCCTTTTTCAATAGCAGATGGCACATCTGAAGATTTGAGATCATTTTCAATTTTTTTCTCATTTTCTTCATTGAAAGGATATTCTGGCATTGCCGCGGAAATCTACGAATTGTGGAAAATTAGGAGAGACTTGGTAAATAACAGAAATGTTACAGTGTATAAATTTTTCACTTCTACCTTTTCATCAGGCTTTTTCATCTTCCGCGGGAAGAAACAGATGGGAATTGTTGCAATAGCTATCAATATTCCACATAATAAAAATCCAAGCCACCACGCGCCAACCCAACTCGGGTGTCTCGGAGGTATATCGATTTCAGCTGAAATTAAAATGCCAACCATTTGTCAAAAATATAATGTGAACTTCTTTATTTAAATGTGTCTGATGCAAATAAATCGAAAGTGTACTCTTTAAACAATCTCAACGAGATTCAGATCAATGTAATGTCTGAAATATTTCTGACTGGGTTAATATTTCACTCTGTTCATTAGACTTCAGTTAAGAATATAAAACACATGCAACTTTAGGATTACCTTTCGATGAAATCTTGATATATATAAGCACTAAACCACGATGTTTTTGTATTTAGTTTGTACGGCGACTAATGCAAATTATATAAATATATTTAAAGAAAATATGCGACAATGTACTTCATTTAGAACTTAAATAAGATGAAAGATGTTATCTTACATGTATCAACCCATCCTGCATCGACCCAAATTAATAAAATTGCTGCGCCAAGAAGAAACCCGAATGCAGGGCCGATGAGCGCAACCGTCAATACAATACCTGTAATAAACACGCACACTCGTTATTGTTTACCAAGCAATATATGAAGCAAATTAATGTTGATGAGATTGCAACTACAAACATCAAATCATTTTAGGCATATAATCAAGTCGGCATGATGACATCTATGGAGTGGAGATAATCCTAAAAATATTGGTGTCAATTAGTGGGATATCTGCATTGTACTCTTACATGCGTGTAGTTGTATATTATGATTGTAAAATGTTTTTGTAAATAACATGACATCACCTCTTAATCGTTATATGATTTTACACCCAAAGGGTTCGAGACCAGTAATCAGAAGTGTTTGTATATCGTACATTCCGAATAAAATGTGAAGTTTGATAACATTTTGACATATCAATATGATAAAATTAATGCAAACCAATGTAAACGGGTGATTTCTTTGAAGTAGAGTGATCATCAATGTAGGACATTCCGAGCGGTTGGAGAGGTGCAGCACCTATTCCACTTAAAGCCATTCCAACAACTATCAAAATATACAAGTTATTCGCTGGGGCGCTACTATCATCATCTGCAGCATTGCAGGTAACGTTTGTTTGCTTTTGGTTGCCATCCCTAAATAAAAGAAAGGGTATGGTATTTTATTAAAAGTTTCTCTCGTTTACTTTTTTTTTTCAAATAAACCGACACACACTCGGTTTCTATCGTTTGCATTGGCTAACGTGTTATGCCTTTACAGTCATAAATTTGATCATGCAATCAATCATTTATATTTCCACAGTAAATCTTATATGCCTATGCAAACACTAAATTTAAACGCATATTGAATTGACTGCATCTGCGTATTTGATTGGTCGTATTCTTTTGATGGCTTAATATATACATATCGTAGACTTTATATATATGTATTTTACTGTAGTAACCAACACGGTGAAAAATTTTCTTCATTGAATATTTAAGTTTTTATATTTTCATTCGTGACTCATGCTGCACAAAAACCCCACAAAACACTTAATGATCACATATTTGTTCAATTGGTGCTCGATGTATAGCAATAAGGCCCATCACTTACATTTCGCACATTTGAACTTGTTTGTTGCTCGAACTTGTAGAGTTTTTCATTGTATCAACATATTCATATCTATCACCAATAAATTGAGGAAGACATGCTATCAGGAAACCAGCAGCAACAAGCGAAGAACCAATTGATATGGCACGTGGTCTAACAGGAAGAGAAACAAAACAAATTAATTCAGCTAGTTTAGGATTTTTTGCAATTAAATGACTCTTAATCGTTACTTTGGGGATTAATGTACTGAGAGTTTCCAAGTTCATTTTTCAGCCGTGCCACAACAGATTTTTTTTATTTCCGAAAATCATATAAGTTGTATCATATATTGTATCTGGAAAATGTTTGCAAAGCTTTCTATCGTATGAACAAACTACATAAATGCGTCACGTATAGCACATTAATTGCACAAAACGGGCGGCACTTAGACGAGAAAAATATTTGCATTTAACAATAATTTACACTCAACAGGTTATCATATATTAACATTCTAATTAGTGCATTTTTTAAACACTCGTTTATTTTGGCAGATAGTTGCTGAACAAGATTATAGATTATTTTCAGTTGATTTCATCAATCTTACATCCGAGAAATACATCAAGCCTCACGTTTTGGTACTTCAAGCCACAACATGGCCGAAAATTATTCAATATTATAAAATTCTGAAATACGCCAAAAGCTGAAACAGTTAATGCTGAAAAGCTGAAATAATAATTAATAACGGCGATGACTATTCATTTAATAGCTATTAATTTCTTTGTTCCTAAATCGAGCGGTTTATCGTATAAAACTCGAGAAAGTTATATTATAAATAAACATAAAACTTCACGAATCCGACCCGATAAGCCCGTCTTGCTTCATAGCAATGTCACTTATGTATGTTGAAGTTTAATACATGCAAATAAGCTTGCTTAAGGTTGAACAAAATAAAATTATATCTGACCTATGTGATCTGCTTCCATAATAACTTACAAACATCATAACAGTTAAATTTCCTATTTGAAATGTTGATGATAACATTGCTACCATGGTTGTTGAAAGTTCAAATCTTCTTTCAATCGTCGTTAGTGCGCTTCGAAAATATACTCCTCCAATCATCTGAAAAATTTGATTGCTATTTTCAACTTTTTCTACCAGCAATAAGTTGAATCTATACTTTTTCTTAACTAGGTTTATCAATTTATCATCAGTATAGAAAGTAATTTTATACGTATTTTAAAAAAATTGTACAAGTTTATGCAATTTTTTTTGAACACTCTCATGGTATTCCACCTAAAGTCAATATTCACAATTGTTGCTATTGGATACCAGGCATTTGTTTGGCAAAATTGCTGAAATATTATGATTGGTTAACTCACTTCAACAAATATAAGAAAACTCATAAAGCAGACGAAAAATCTCATGTCCTGAAAGCAGTGTGCAGCCATTGTTATTGTGTATGTGATCCGGTAGTATAACTGAAAAACTGTATATCTTCTGCAGTAGGTATAATATTAAATTGAACTGAAAAAATAAATTCAATCAAGTTGATTTATCAACAAAAGTTAATACGAAATTGTAAATTGCTCACAAACATTAAATAAATGTGGCTTGTAAAACGAGATAAGTGGAAAATTGCACACTATGCTCAAATAAATGCATTTAAACTCGGAACAACATAATTGCCAACAAAAAACTATATACTCGTACACATGCTGTAAATTGGAGAATACAGCGCTATTGGAATTTTTTTTCGCAGACTGCAATTTTACTTATTCTAATAAACAAACTCAACTCAACGACAAAATAAATCTTTTTAATTCATTTTTTTTGAATCTGTCATAGATTAGCTAAAATGCTATCATACTTACTGGTACAAGCAACAGAACAGTATGATTTAGCCGAGTACTGTAACTCCTAGATAACTTATAATGCAAGGTCTTGTATTTACTTGGACAAACAAAGTGTCGATACACTGGCGGTTCGGCGGGTTTGTGTTAGCATTTCTAAACGTATATTTGTTTGCAACACGGTGGCGAAACGAATTAAAGTAGTCCGTGTGTTTCACAAAGTACTCCATTGTGGTACTAATTAGGTCGAACATGATAATAGAATCAGCAATGCTAGTTTAGCTGCCTCCTGTACACGGAAATGACATCTCGAGTACGCAGTGCCAATACTGCGAGTCTCTGTATCTTTTCCTATTCAGCATAAGATAAAATGTACTTGATTTTTGAGTATGCCATTGTACTTCATTCTCTTAACAAAACATTTATTTGGTTAAGATCAAAATATATATTGATGTGCGCAACGAGCATTAGAATTAGAACTGCGCAAATGGGATGTTTTGCCACAAAATATTGATCGTTTGTTTTACATCTAAATTCCGTTTCAATTACGATTTTTATCATAATGTACGTTAAAAATTCTTCCTCTACTAAACCAAACAGACGAACTCTGTCTATTGACACCGGAAAGCAATGACGTAAATAATGAATTTCGCAGAAGGTCGCGGCGAATACGAACATGCTGCATGAACTCGAATATATTCCGTACTAATACTTTTCTAAAATTTCGCGTAAATGGTACGAGTTGACAGAAAGCGAAATAATATTTTTGAGTAGAGAGTAAGTAGAAATCTAATAGTGACAGATGAATTCGCAATGATCATGGCGTAAAAGTTCTTCCTCTAAATGTTGCTACAAAATAGGCATTTCTAGTAATTTATATCAGTGGATTTCAGATACATAACTTAGTTTACCTCAAGTAGGTCACGTAGCAAAATGTACTTGCTTGTAACAGCGTTCAACCTTGATTTATTCAATTGAAAACTATAGTAGAATTACTGACGTCGAAACTCGACTAAGCTTGAACTTATAATCGTTTATAGAATGTAAACAATAACCTTTATATATATTCCACATTTATCATATTTTGTTTTCAGGTTACAAGTGACCATTATTTCAAAAATTAAATTCGATTTTTATATATCTGCATTTAAAAATATTTTCACAGTTTGACTTTGTAAAACCTAAATAACATTGTGCGTAAATATGTGCTAAAGAATTCAAAATGGCAGAAAACGGATGTTTTCGCGATATTCGATGATTTGTCTTCTGCCTGGGAGGCATTTTGTTATTTGTGGTATGGTCATTCATTACATATCGATCTTGATTGGTAAATATGTTGATAGGTATTTGTCTGTCTGTTAGACACTTTCGTATGTTAACGATATCTCACGAAAGCAAAGTTGATTCTGCTCCAAATTTTGCATGTGCATTCATCATATCTCGGACTAGAAGCCTATTGATTTTGGATGAATTATGTCGTATAATTAGCTAAGTTAGCTAGTTATTAATTAATTATTAATTTTTTATTTTATTTTTTTCATAATTAGCGAGGTAATAATTAATTATTTAATTTTTTTGCGGAAGATCGATAAGTCGGCGGTCTCTGATCGCTATCTCGTTAGTACTGTTATTAATAATTAATAACCTACTGGATTTCAAAGTTAAGTTTCACCCTAACCCGAAAAAATCGTCTGGATCATTTGTTGGCAGATGACTCTCGAAAAAAAAAGTATAACTTTTCTGATTTCTTAGACCCAGATGGATTGCAATTGGTGGTTTGATCGTTGCGCTCGGATCGACAAGGGCATTTCTCCCTCAATTCATTGATTCACGATACGAATATGAGGATACAAATACTTCGAACTTATCTAGTAACTCTGGAATGATGTTTTATAACAGGTAAAAATCCAAGCAGATATCTATGGACGATGAGTTTATTCAAAATAAAAATACAAACTGAATATAAAAAGTTGTTATATTTATTCTCATATAATAATACCCATTTGATTGCAGGAACGAAAACATAACCAACGACTTTTCATGTGACCCAAAAGAACACAAGGATGCATCAAACAAGTTGTATATATTTATAATATTTGGTGAAATATTACACGGAATTGGAGCCCGTTCAACCGATAGGAATGTCATTCGAATTCTTTTTCTCATTTAGAGTATTTTACAAAAAATCGTGGAATTTGAAAAATATAAAATATAAGCTGGGTGCATATAGCATGTCAAAGCTATGCCCATAGCAATCTCTCAATGTATTTTCTTTTTCTGCAATAACTGTAACAGATTTTGTAACTCAAATTCTTATTGATATTGCAAAGCAGTTAATGCGTTAAGTACGATAGAAAAGTCAAACGTCTGCATATTCATATTAGTTCAAAGCAATTTTATGTCAACTTCTTGACACCCGTTTCCTGAAAGATTGTTTTCTATTTTGCTTGTAAGAAACTGATATCACTCCAACTAATCCCAACTGGGTTGGCGCGTGGTGGATAGGATCGGTTACATTGCTCATTGTCTCTATTCCGTTTTTCTTCTTTCCATATGCCATTACATCACACAAAAGGATTCAGGTAGCCTCTCCAATATTTTTTCCGATGAATTGAATGGTTTTATTTGTTGAGTATTACAATTTCAAGACTTAGCTTTTTATCCGCTATCAGTGAAATTATTTGTAACGCTGATGGGATTAAGTTGGTAATAAATTTTTTTGGCATTTATATATGTTTGTATTCATGTGATTGACTGATTAAATATAACTACCGAAAATAAATTAGTAATGGTAAAAACATTACGTGAAAACTCTTGTAGAAAGAAGATAAACCAGGAACAGAAAAACTAACGGCATTGGAAGAGTTAAAGTAAGTAGGAAAAGCGGTATTTAACTTTTCAAAAATGACCGTACGGTTCCCGTATGAGACATCATCAAAGCTATAACAGTCTAACAAGAGCATGCAGGTTCATATTTTGGCAAGATTGAAAATTTTAACTGAGTAAGTTTTTCACAAAATATTCCAAAGCATAAGTCTCAATTATGAAAGCATAACGATAAAACCCGGAATGAAAAAAGGTCTTTGATACCTGCTAAAGATGTTTTGTATACATTCCAAGCAAAGCTAGAGGTTGGGTATAGGTATTTAAGCTTTTATTCCATAAACCGATTTAAAATACTATCAATTACACATAAAAAAAAAAAACAGAATAAGACGAAATATTTAAAGTGCATACGCCTGTGAGTGTCTGAAATTTCACATTTTTTTATGAATATATTTTTTATTCGTTTCAGACAATTATTTGATGCCACAAAACGATTGTTTACGAATTCAAAACGTCTACTTATTCACGGAATCCTTGTAACAATAAGCCTTGTCCTAGTATGACTTGCAACATTCTTTCATATAAAACCTGGAAGTACAATTCGAAGAAACTGCATCAAGGGCTAACTTACTGCACGGTGGGATACCTTTTAGTTCAAACACATAAATGGTAGAGACTGAATGTATTCGCCCCATAAATTATTTTCCAATGAATTATAAATAGTCAAAAATTCGTTTCAAAGTAAAACTATATATTCGGTTAAATGGTAACTTAGAATAGCGTATTTAATTTATCTATAATTCAAAGCCGAAATATGGCGTGACTTGAAAATGTGATCCATTGGTTTTGCATAAATCTTTATTTCTATTTTTATTTAAGGTTCAATAAATCTTCCAGCTGTTTTGTTTGGGACCTTAATTGGAGGAATTATCGTGAGTAAAACTAATCCAAGTAATCCTGGCTTGGTCAAAATGGTAGGAATCGTCTTGTTTCTGTCCAGCGTGACAACCTATCTTTCATTACTTATCGATTTTAATCGGTAAGTATGTTGATAGGTATTTGTATGTCTGTGTGTTTGTCTGTCTGTATGTCTGTTAGATGCACGCGATATCTCACGAAAGCGAGACTGAATCTGCTCCAGATTCTGCATGTGCATTCATCATATGTTGGACCAAAAGCCTATTGGATTGGATATTTTGGATGAATTATGTCGTATAATTAGCGAGTTATTGATTAATTAGTGATAGGACACAAGGTGTCACTATGGAGTAAGAGCGCTGTTTTGGGGATCCCCTAACTTTCGATCGATAAGTCTTCGGTCTCTCACCGATATTCTCGTTTACTTTTTATTGGGTGTGATACACAAGACATTGAAGGAGTCACAGTCTTAAACAAGTGATCGTTTACATTTGGAGTTTTTGTAATGTTTGTTTGTGGTTTTCACACATCATCGTGATTATATTAAATTGGGCACGCTACAAACCCGAAAAATATTTATTTGCAAATATAGTAAAGATCTGATTGCTGGAAAGTTTTCAGTGCCAAAATGAAATGAAAAAATTAAATTAAGATACTCTGATACTTCAGTATTTTATTTGTAATTTAACCTGGTTATAATATTTAGAGTAAACTAACAAATCCATAATCCTGGCAAGGATAGAAGAGATTCATAGTCTGACTGTATCCTGGGGCCGAAAACGTATTCAATGTATCCGTTTGTTTCACATATATTTAGGTCAGAAACGGTCATCAATGAATGCAACAAAGATTGTGGTTGTGAAGACGGAATGTATGCACCAGTGTGCAGTATAGATAATGATGTCACATATTATGTATCGCGGTGTCACGCTGGCTGTATGAAAAATTTCGTCAACTCGGAAAGTCATATTCAGGTGATAAAATTACTAAACCTGGAAATATAACGTAAAATCTATTAAAAAAATTACAAAATTATTTATTATTCAAAATACATGATGCATATAGCGTTTGAAGGCATTATTTTTTTTATTAGTGCCTGCTTTTTTATTATCTATGTAATATAAAGGTGTTGGTTCATGGTACATAATCTGTCCATTCTGTGAGTGATTTGTTTATCGATATAGCCTCAAATCTTATCATATCACAAGTCTACCGGGAATTGCATTTACTTTTTTATTGAGACAAAATTTAAGATCTTTCACATATTATAACAACATTATAAAGGGTGTCTCCAAAAACGAAATCCATAAATTTTTGTGGTGGTTTGTCCGTCACTCCAAATTTTATGATCATTTTGAGGTTCGTTCATATAATCTCAAAACGCGTGTGTTCACTCCAATACTTGTTTTTTGTTTTGTTTGGAAAAGAAATTAAAACTCAATTTTTGAATCCATCTAACACTTTCTCTATTTATTTTGCAGAGTAGTCGACAGGATTGACAAAGCGTATGCAATTGGAATAACATTCCTAACTTTCAGAGTGTTAGCTTAGTTGCCAGGCCCGGTATTATATGGAACAATCATCGATTCGACTTGTATTTATTGGAGGAAAAATTCTTGCGGTGCTCGAGGTAATTGTAAGGTAGTTCGATACTTTGATATGTATTTCTTGCTTTTTTATATATATAACGTTAGTGTAAAAATACTGACATATTGTTTTAACATTTTCAGGTTTACGATAACGATCTGTACATATTTCGATATTATGAAATTATGATCATTTTTCAAACTATCACGATCTCTCCGTGTGTCGCACTTTTCTTCTTGACGAGGCGGGAGCATATAAAATCAAAACAGCATAAGGCCAGGAAAACAGAGAGCATTTGCGAAGAGTCCAATGAGACAAAACAGCGTGAAAGAAAAGAATGTTTTGAGGGAATTCACACATACTTTTCCCCACGTTTGGTTTGCAGAAACGAATCAGCAAAATTAAATACACCTATAATTTTTATCAAAATAATGTATTTGCAATATGGATCTGAGTGTATTCTTATGACTGGTTATTTTGTTACAGGAAAAAATGAATACATTCTCAGCGTTTTTGTGACCTTCATGCACGATAACGGTGGTAAGCAAATAATGTTTATCCGTTATGCACACTGCGAGCTCAAAGCAAGTACTCATCCAGAAATGTACACATAAAAAAGCATTGCGATGCAAGAATGTGGGGTGCCAACCTGCAACCTAGAGCATTTCAAAACGACTCTAATCGGGATACAACAGGAATTGTGTAATGATTCTGATGTGTTCTGGCGAGGTATTTTTGTATAGAAGAAAAGTGTAAACGATGAAAGTGGGCATTACTACAGTCAGTAAATGTGTCTTCAGGCAATCGTGCAACAGCAATGTCACAATCATATTGTATATTAGTTTATGACTTCAACTAAGTAAGTTTAAAGAATTTGATGACACCACAGTCCATATGAGACAGCAATAACAAATGTGCGGGGTTTCAATGATTGAAAATGATGTAGCATGCATACCGGGTAATGATATTAAGAAGGTAGAGGGGATTTTTATTGAGGTTTTTTGAAAAAAAAACAAAAAAATAAGAAAAATTTAAAATGTTTCCGATCCCTGTTCTAATGGCCCCAGTCATATTCAATTTAATGCAAGCTGTGTTTTACACGGGGACAAGATTTGTACCAGTATTCAATTACAAGAGTATGTTAAGACTTTTTCTTACTGAAAATTATATAAAATATATTTCAGAACAGATGTTGTGAAATAGTGGAAGCGATTAAGCGAATTTTTAAGAGTTTCTCAGGAGAGTTCGGGTTATTCGGATATGGATTTGCACTAATTGTTGTTAATAATTGCAGAAAACTTTGGTTTCAGAGTGACTTTCCAAAATCATAAACAATTTGAAAAAGTCTCAAAATGATATGTACTATTCATATAATAGTAAACATATAATATATAATAAACATATAATATATACATATCGAGAATCATAAAATTGAAAATGAAATTATCTTGCACATTGCTATTAAACAATTAGAAACAATGTAGAGATGAAACCTTCCTGTACAACAAAATCCCTTTTTCTTTTCATATGCTAATGCAAAACACGTAAAAGTAAATCCATTAAGGAATATGTAATTTTTATTTTTGAATACCACTATACTCGAATATATACTTAATAGAAATTAAGGAGCGAGTGCTTCCCTGTTATATGCAAACACGTACGCGAACATCTTTCATCTCATATGGCATTATCGTGTTAAATTGCAACGATACAAATATTTTGTATGTTCATTTAGGCTTGCGCCCAAAATAACACTAACGCAATAATTAAAGGTGTATACAGTATTTTGAGCTAACCGACTACGAATATTTCATCTTGAATAAAATGGCTGCAGACGGCTGTTTTCGTGATATTCGATGGTTCGTCTTCTGCTTGGGAAGTGTGCTGTTATTCGAGGTAACCTTACGGTTGTTTACGAAATATTGTCACTTAGGCATTAGCGATATTTACGATGGTTGCAATTTTTAAAATCCGAGCATTCTTGTGGTAATGTAGCAATCAATGTAGGTACAATGTGGTAATGTAGTAAACGTGATAATGTTGCCATAAATAAAAATTGTATTGTGCTTTGCAAAACGGGATCATATATGGAAAAAGATGAATCACAAAATCGGCTGACCTATATAAAAACTTTAAGAACTTGTTTATGATGAAACTTCAAGGACATACTTTTATATAAAATTGATCTCATTCAATGTTAACACTTACAAATGTACAATTTTGGTAGAACTACGTATCATCAATTGGCAGAGGAGTTTTAACGACGATTGAACGTAGATTTGCGTTATCAAGCTCGGCAGTGGGGGTACTGGCGTCGAGTTTTCAAATGAGCAACATGTTCGTTCAACCCTTTGTCAGCTACTTCGGAGGAAAATCACACAGGTAAAACGTGTTCAGATCTCAAAAATTTGGTGGCTGGTAATCAGAGATATTAGATCATTCTATACTACGGTTGTGTCCCTTCTACTTATAATTAGTTATAATGAGAGAGAAAGTTATTATAAAAATCTATTTTTGCGACATCACAGCGAAGCAATGGTCCATAGCAGTGGATGGATTTATTTGAGAACAGGTGTACTCATACACAAGGCTAATGCATCCATTAATAATTTCATTTATTATAAGAGACGTATAACCTAACTAAACACGGCAGAAATAAAGTATAATACTTTTTCTTTAATACTTCATTTTTTAATTTAATAGACCGAGATGGATTGCAATTGGGGGCTTGATTGTTGCGGTTGGATCCACGAGTGCATTTCTTCCCCAATTCATTGATTCTCGATATGAATATGAGGATACAGCTATTTCAAACCTTTCCAGCAATGCTAAGATAATGCTTTGTAATCGGTAAGTCATAACAACTCAGAATCGCGCAGGCTTATCCAGATCCTCAACTTATCATTTTCGCCCTACGAATTCTGACTATGCCTGTGCATACGCACTTTCAGTGCTACGGGGTTGACATGCCTGGCATACCATCAAGCGCGAAATTGTTTTTTAACCAATTTTGAATATTTTCTGATTATGATCAGATTTGAATGATTTATATCCTACGATTTCTACGTTACTGAGCGACGTAGAACAAATTTTCTCCATGTAGGCTAAAATGTCAATTCGAATCAAATCAAATACATCTACTGGGTTTACGCTGAATTTCAAACAAAACTAGTAATAGCTGATTTTTATAATTGTAACAATTCTATAATATTGCAAGAATAATATTGCTCCTCAAAATGGGCCATTTTTATTGGATCCCGAGTTAAAATAGAAATCTTAATTGGGGACTTTATATTCTACACGAATTTAAAAACCATTTTATGATTGATTATGAGAAAATTCCATCATTGATTAACTAAATAGTTTCAAGTTTTTTCAAAACCATTCGAATAGGAATTAGAGTTCGATGCATACCCTTACAATCGCGAAATGCCATTGGCGCTTCCTACTTATTCGGGTAACGTTATCAATTACAGAAACAGCAATTATTCTGACAATTCTTGTGGCTCAGGAGGGCACAGCGAGTCTAACAAGCTGTATATATTCATAATAATTGGTGGAATATTACACGGAATCGGAGCTTCACCCTTTCAACCCTTAGGAATGTCATATCTAGATGATTTCTCTCCTCCAGCGAAAGCAGCTTTGTATATTGGTATTGTATATAACTTTATGTAACGAAGTGTACATATGGATCGTTTTGTTATTATTGATATGTTGTTGTTGCTGTTGATCATTTTTTCAGTATTTCTTTCTTCTTCTTCTTGTAAAAAATCGCTTCTCTCAATAAAAACTGGACCAATTGCTTAAAGTTTTCAGTGCTGGTCAAAGATTGTTGTTGTCGCTAGAAGGCTATTCCTTTCATTCACAAGACTAAGGCTGAGCATTTTGAATGGAATATTCGAAGCAAATCGAATAGTATATTATTCGAATTAGTTCAGACGGAAATTTCAATTCGCCGAGATCCCAAATTTTTATATCGAAGCCATGTCTGAGTGATTGATTCTATGTTTTCAGTAATTTATGTGCCTTGAGGACCTAGCACAATTAAAAAGTCACATACAATTGGATAACTTCCCAGTATTCGATATTCGATTCGAAGAACTATTCGATTTGATTCTGAAATCCCCTGGTTGAGCATTGTTCTCTTGTTCCGAAACAACAAAGTTATATATATTTTAGGTATAGCAAAAGGAATTCTACTCATTGGACCAGCTCTCGGATATCTTGCTTCGGCTGTAATATTAAATATTTGGGTCGATGTCGGGTGGACAGGTAACTGAATTACCATTTATGTATATACATTGTAACTAAGCCACGCATCTTGAAGTTTTAAAGCAATAGCCACACACTATAACGTTACATTAAGATGTATATTAAGATAGCCAGTTATATCTATTAGTTGGGCATACGTTAATTAAACTAACTGCCTTTCCTTCTCTAATTATGCAAATGCCATCGCGTTTCTTGTTGTAGTTGTAAAATGCTTGACTGAAGAAGTCTGATTAGTTAGACGCTATGTTACCAAAATACATTTGTGTTAGTGTGCAGCAAGACTCTTGAATTAAATAGAAGAGTTATATTTTTCTTTCCGATTTCCTGTTCTTATCTGACATAAAACACATAGAAACTGCGACGTGTTCTCAACGTGATGAATATATATATATATTATTTTTTGCAGATCCTGATATTACTCCATCTAATCCTAACTGGGTTGGGGCATGGTGGATGGGATATATGATAGGATCAATTACAATGATCTCTGTATCTATTCCGTTCTTCTTCTTTCCGTATGCTATGGAATCACACCAAAGTGTTCAAGTACAGGAGGTGGTTTTATATTTGGAATTCGTCTCGTCAAAGATTATATGATTATAATAGTTGGAATTGGAATTAATCAATCATACCTTACGCAGCAAATAGAGAAATTATATTTCTATGTGAAGGTCGTGTGTAAACTGGCATATGAAAGATACTTGCCGAATTTTTAATGTTGAAAATTTACGATTATGAACCAATCACTAAATGGAAAACCAATTAAGAAGGTTCAAATATTACATATCAATTATACATTAACTTTTGCAGAAAGAAGATACTAAAAAAGCCGAGAAATTATCAACAATTGGAGAACTAAAGTATGTACGAAAAAATATCTAAATATAAACATGGTGCGCAATTTTAATTTTGGCGACGTCATCACACAAAACTTCAAAGTAAAATACGAATCGTATAGAATCCACATAAAATTTGAAATAAATAAAGTAATAAGCTTTTAGCGATAACAACAATCTTACCACAGACAATTTCAAAGCACCAACAATAAGAACAATATCGAAAGAAGAGTATACTAACAAGAACAACAACATAAAAACAAAACGATCTATAAATCAACTTCCTGTCCAAAAATACATAAAATATACTGGGAAATTGGCTCATCTATTAAATTATCATAGTGCCGAACACTTATTTCTAAAGTTGTTTCCTTATTTCAGGCAATTGTTTGAGGCGACAAAAAGATTGCTTACGAATCCCAAATTATTACTTATTCATGCAATTCTCGTCTTCGCAAGTCTTGTTGTCGTAGGAGTAGCAACTTTTTTTCCAAAGTATCTTGAAGTGCAATTTGGAGAAACTGCATCAAGATCTAACTTATTGCATGGTCTGGATATTCAATTTAATATTATTACAACTCAACGATATTGTGTATGTTAATTAAGCAGTGGTACTGATTTGGTGGCGTTGTCAAGTTTCGGAATCTTGCTGCATGCTCTTGATTTACCAAAAGCATTCGCATTTCACCAGTCAGAATCAATATGAATTCTCATGGCAACGCCTTCTCGATTGCCAAAAAAAAATGTAGACAGTGCATAACTGTGATGTCAACTCGAGTCTGAAATTATTGGAACACTATTATTGAACAATGAAGTTAAGTCAGTAGTTCGGTTTGGTCATTGCTTTGACCGCTGGGTTGTTTTTTAAGACGAAATTTGACAAAATATAGCGTTATGTTTTTGAAAATAGCTGTAACCTCCCATGTTTCACTATTTCCTTTTTTCTGTTTCTCGATATTTTTTCAACATTTACAGGTTCTATAAATCTTCCAGCTGTTATATCAGGAACACTTTTGGGAGGAGTAATCGTTAGCAAAACAAATCCAAATACTCCTGGTTTAGTTAAGATGGTAGCGATCGTGTTACTTTTGGCCAGTGTAACAACTTATCCTTTACTTTTTATCGGCTGTGATACACAAGACATTGAAGGAGTCACAGTTTTCAACAGGTACACTAGCATCGACTCATTTACTAAAATGGTTTAGACGTTCTGCGATTTTAAATACAGTCAGTATCAGTATTTAAATATTGTCATTAATATAATTTTTACATAGCTCAAACACAGTCACAAATGACTGCAACAAGCTTTGTGATTGTGAAAAAGGAATGTATTCACCCGTCTGCAGTATAGATACTGGTGTCATATATGTATCTCCGTGCCACGCTGGCTGTACGACGGAAATTGCCAACTCAGAAACTCCTATACAGGTATTAAATTTTTCCTCGAATTTTTCTATATATAATTAATTTACCTCCATGTTCTTCTCGTTAAATCAAAAATTAATATTCAACAGATTAGTTTAATGTTCTTTGGGTAAGCGCATCACATAAATATATTAGGTTAAAATGTTTTTAATTCAATTAAAGATGGTCATATCTGCTAAATGCCCTTTTTCCAAACTTTCTTCGAGTACCTGGAAACCATATTTCACCCAACATTTTGATGCTTTATATTAATTTATGAAACTTAGGGACACTTTATCCCGTCTCTCTTGTAGGCCGATCGATCTTTTCGGGGACCCAGTGCTTAGCTACGGCCGTATTGCGACGCTAACTTCATTTTCAAATAGTTGAGCATTGCTTACTTGTTTTTATAAGTAAGCATTGATAACGTTACTGCAAAGTTAACTACAATTTCTAAAAGACCTGGATGGATCTAACTGAAGATAATGGCAATTAATAATAACGAGATAACCTGTGTTTAGAATTTCACATCATGCAGTTGTACCCAAGACGAAAATATCGAATCTGTATTAACAAGTTTGTGTAAGAGAACAACTTGCAGAGGACACGAAATTGCATGGGCATTACTTTTCAAAGCACTGGCAAATTTCTTCGGCGGTTTATCTGTAACCCCAAATTTTATGCTCATTTTGAGGTATGGAATTGAGATATAAAGACAGTGATTCAAAACAATGAATATATTGTTCCTAATATGTGTATGTGGATATAATTGAAATATATTAATTATATGGATGAAAATATTTGTATTATAAATTATATGTTGTTATACTAGGAACCTAAATTGAACGATTATAGTCGTTTTAGCCTGGCTAGCGAGATCTGGATTTCTACTTTTAGGGTTGACGCCGTATTAGAAAAAACACGTGACATCGTGTGGATATGTGATATTTTACTAAAGTAACCAATTTTTTCAACCATAAACCAATATCAACTGCTTCAAGGAGATATGATAAAGTAGCAAAAATGTTTTAAACTCGTAAAACTGATAATTGAAATGATTGTTCCAAAATTAATAAAAAAAAATGGACAAAAACAACTGGACACAAAAAGTTATGCTTTTTGTCTTTGTTATCGCCAAACTACTGTAATGTGATACTTATTATTAGCGAAAGATTGACCCGAGAAATAATAAAACGATAGCAAGTTTATTCTCAGGCAGACATCTATAATACTGAATATAAGAAAATTCGTTTCATATTTCTCTTTACATTTTAGAGTAGTCGACATAATGGACAAAGCCTACGCAATTGGATTAACGTTTCTAGCATTCAGAGTATTAGCTTGGTTACCTGGTCCGATGTTATACGGATCAATTATTGATTCAACGTGTATTTATTGGGGACGAAATCATTGTGGAGAACGTGGGAACTGTAAGGTAGGCTGCTACCGATTAAAGTTGAAAATGAACAACAAATCAATAATATTTATTGGGTCTAATCAGATTTTTTACTATTTACAACTTTCAAAATTTTTTACACAGGTCTACAATAACAGTCTATATCGATTTCGGTATTATGGAATTATGATCATTTTTCAAACGATCACGGTACTTTCGTGTTTTGCACTTTTTTTCGTGACAAAGCGTGAAACTATGAAATCACAAGACAGCAAGAGATCGGGTGTCATTTACCAGAAGTCCAATATTAAGAATCAAAATGAAGACAAGGGATATATGGAAAAAGAATTGAAGAAATTAGTATCACCTGATACAGATGGGGGAGAAATATCAAAATTAAATAAAACAATCCCCCAAAGTGATAATTGATAAAAAAAAAATTAAAATTTGAGACAATTTTCGTAAAATATTGCTGTGTCCAAACGGGTTGACTTTACCCTAAATTTCTCCCTCGCTTTCAAAGGAAAATGAAAAAAGAAATAGAACATAAATCGATACCATCACACTTTTCTAAAATTCGAAGATATTTCTATCAACGTACAAATCAAATATAAAATTGCCCAATAACTATAAGTTTTGGGGTCTTGGTAGACCCGATTACAATTTATTTATCCCTATTATATTAGGCTTTACGTGGGGGCTTGCAAATTTTGTTTGAGCGAAGTTACATTGCTCAAGAGTATTTTTGGATTAACCGACAATGTTATTAAAATTTCGATTTTGGTATTCACTATTTTGTTATCATGTACGTGAATATAGTCACCCACCATATGCTGAGGAAAATCTCTGCATCAAATGTGTTATGCACACGAAACCGGACAAAGTCATCATCATTTTAAATCGTGATCTAACTGGTAATCATGACCAGGTGAACGTAACCAATAGCTGCAGCTGCAGCAGCATTCGTGCAAAAATAAAAAGGCGTTTTTTTTTATATAGAGAAAATACCTCGTGCAAAATACTACATTAGGCCCCGCGCCATTTACATGCCAAATGTAAATCCCAGTTCGGGGCGTACGTAATTTTCACTGTTTGAAAATTAGAAAGAAAATATGTTCGTAAGGTAAAATTATAAACAGGTTAGGCATACACGAGCGAATGCATAGGATTCAGTAATACACTAATATTTCAGATGTAATCAAAATATATTTCGAAGTGAAATGATAGCGATTTCCATACATGAAATAGCAAATATTCCCCTATCGCTACCGAAGAAAATGGCGCAATTTTGTCGTTAATTACAGGCGAACACAGTTGACAGGTGTGAAAAACTAGGTCATTACTATCCAACGAGCAATGCAATAAATAAGTGCAGACAGTGTATCATTAGGAAATGATGTTACCGTTGATGTTGTTGTTATAAGATTGTAAATATCCATCATCATGGCGGGTAGAAGCTTCTAGATAAGGAAATGACGAGATTGAAACTATGTTTACAGTAAGCCAAAATGATTAAATGCCTCAACTTTGATTTTTTCATATTTCATCGACGGCCCTTTTCTGCGCGTTGACAGAAAAACTTAGTTTAATTTGCTACTATCATCATTTCTAACAAGTTATTGGCGTAGGGTGTTTTTTAATTAGATTTGGTGCCTGCTGTTTTTCATTTAAATGTGCAACGGACAATATTTGCATCGCAGACTCCGTGTTACATCAGCAACATATTTATAAAGAAAACTGACGAGGCAGGAGTTTTAGTGGTGCAGCTGCAGCAGCATCCGTGTAAAAATAAAAAGTTTTTTTTTATATATAGGGAAAATACCTCGTGCGAGTAGAACTACATTAGGCCTCGCGCCATTTACATGCCAAATATAAATCCCCTTTCAGGGTGTACGTAATTTTCACTGTTTGAAAATTAGAAAGAAAATATGTTTGTAGGTAAAATTATAAACAGGTTAGGCCTGACACGAGCGAATGCATAGGATTTAATAATACATTAATATTTCAGGTGTAATCAAAATATATTTCGAAGTGAAATGATAGCGATTTCCATACATGAAATAGCAAATATTCCCCTGTCGCTGCACTTGAAAATCGCGCAATTTTGTCGTTAATTACAGGCGAACAGTTGACAGGTGTGAAAAACTAAGTCATTACTATCCAATGAGCAATGCAATAAATAAGTGCAGGCAGTGTATCATTAGGAAATGATACATCATCATGGCGAGTAGAAGCTTATAGATAAGGAAATGATGCGATTGAATCTATGTTTACAGTAAGCCAAAATGATTAAATGCCTCATCTTTGACTTTTTCGTATTTCATCGACGGCCTTTTTCTGCGGATTGACAGAAGTTTAGTTTAATTTGCTACTACCATCATTTCTAACAAGTTATTGGCGTAGGGTGTTTTTAATTAGATTTGGTGTCCGCTGTTTTCCATTTAAATGTGCAACGGACATTATTTGCATTGCCGACTCCGTGTTACATCGACAAAATATTTATAAAGAAAACTGACGAGGCAGGAGTTTTAGTGGTGCACCATCGCAATTTGTTTTAACTAAACACCGACCAAATTGTTAGGCTGTTTTTCGCTATAATTTTTTACATTGTTTTTCACGAGTGCTTATACGAGAAGTTGAAGAAAAGTTATTAATAAGTATAATCATTGCAACAGCTCATGGTGTTATATTTCATAATATTTTAGGACATTTTATTATAATCTACATAGATTGAAGTTCAAAACTTGACACGTATATCAACAGGATGACAAAAGTGACATACAAGCTACTGATTAAGGTTAGTAATAATTTCTAAGACATCCAAATTTAATTTGTCAGAGGTGATCATTTAAAAACGCGTCAAATTTATATGTCAATATATATTCTCATTCCTCCATTATTATTGTCCAATATTGATTCCGAAGTTGGTTCTTGGTATTTTCTTCTGTTTACTTTTACTCCCAGTCTCATGGTGACGGCTATTGCTTGTGACTGCTTGATGTCCTCGCCTAAGTATCAACTTCAATAATACTATTGATTTAAAAAGACACGAGAATTGAGCGAATCAAATGAATGCTATAGTATCGACGCTTAAACATTTGTTAAACGTATTAATACTATGACATTGAAGGTATATGACTATATATGTAAATTGTTCTCAACAATTATCCCTTTAACAATTAGTACAGAAGACATAAATCTGGTAAAATGTTTGAACCGCTAAAAGCAGGGAAGTTGCTTCTAACTGATAAAACGAGAATATCGGTCAGAGACCGAAGACTTATCGATCGAAAGTTAGGGGATCCCCCAAAACAGCACTCTTACTTCATAGTGACACCTTGTGTTCCATCACTAATTAATTAATAACTCGCTAAATATACTACATAATTCATCCAAAATCAATAGGCCTTTGGTACGACATATGATGAATGCACATGCAAAATCTGGAGCAGATTCAATCTTGTTTTCGTGAGATATCGCGTGCATCTAACAGACAGACAGACAAACAGACAAACAAATAGACAGACAAATACCTATCAACATACTTACCGATTAAAATCGATAAGTAATGATAAGTTTTGAACTCAGCTGTTATATCGTTTTAACCATCCCAATTCCAACAAATATATTTTAATTTAAAGTGACGGACTTTATTTTAATTCTTCTACTTACTTCAGACATCTAAGTTGTATGGAGAAGGTGCAACAGATTCAACTGTCTCTGTTCAACTAGTTGGCGAGAACAAATCTCATACAGATTGGCACACGCTTGATAAATTTTGGCGAGATGATTTTGAACAAGGAAGCACAGATGAATTCACGATAGAAGACAAAGAAGTGGGAAGAGTCTTGTTTGTACGATTCCGTAAGTAATTCATATAATTAAACATACAGAACATATTGAAATATGTTTTATTAGTTTCTTCAAAACTGTTTGGTCTAGAATTATTCTGAAATTCGCTATGCAATACTCATACAACTTCTGCTGGTTCTTGACAGACTCGTAACTAACGATATTCAAACATTTTTTGACTCACAATAGCTGTCTCTATCACAGATAACATTCTCTGAATTACATGTCTGAATATTTCATAAGTAAAACGAATAGGTTTTGGGTAAAATAAAAGTTTATAGATAGGGACAGGTAGAGCCAAATTGCTCAAACTGTAATTAATCATGAAAGCGTGATAACAAAAAAGTAGTCCAACTCCATATACAGAATAAAAATGATATGATTAGTCGTGTTGAACTCTACTTTGCGGGACATTGTAGGTTTCATCATTCATATATTAAATGATAGAATTTTGTTTTGTATTCAGATCTGAAACATAATGATAAAGAGAAGGATTTGTGGGCATGTGACAACGTAATAATCCATCATGATAATTACGTTGATGAGTTTCCGCTGTACGATTGGGTTGTTGATAACTCTGTAATTGTGAGAGGTGAAGGTGAGTGCCAGTACTACAAATATCAACCAACTATTCATACGATATCTACAGGTTCAGATGTGTCAGTACTATTGTGGCTGTTTCTCTTTCCTTAATAGAGTCAGATTTCCATATTTTTTAGTAATTTACTTGCGACTGAATGAATTTTTGTCGCAATGGGAGTGAATAATTATAATAATAGTTACAATATTAAACGCTATTCGAAGAAATTCACTCTATAGAAATTGAGCTGACACTCCATTGTTTTTATATATTGCAAAGCTTCAATGTAAAACTACTGGAGGCTCTGATGAGCATGATGGTATTGCTCCATGATATTGGGGTTTGTTTTCAGGACTGATTCCTCAAAAAATAAAGTCTGATGAACTGCTAAAGGCTATTGAAGAAGAACGAAAAAATAATCTACAAAGATTTGCGTGGATTGAAAAGGCAAAACAGGGAGACCCTGGGTGGATGTTGCCTAGATTTCCACCGGCGGAAGATCTTCACAACGTGCCACATCAATTGAAAATGGAAGACGCAAGATTTGAACACATATCTGTATTGAAAGACGTTGTGCAGTTCAACGGTCTTGTTGAAAAGTTACAGAGTAATTTATTCACTGTTAACTTTCATAATTCATTTTGAGTTTTATTAATATTTCTAAAAATGATTTACCAATAAGCATGATATTATGGAGATTCATAGAATAACGTATGTATATCGACTTTTCATCAGCTTACAACACTCCCAAGCAAAACAAAAATTATTGAATAACAATATTTGATTGTGCTAATTTAGTTACGTAAATGCTGTTTATTCAGGTTATTTGTTACCGATCAAAAAGTTGGAAGATTACAAGAATCTTTTTAGTGGATTCAGAATCTCTGGCGATTTGCTCCCATTCATCGAAAGGTAATATAAGATTGTTGAATGCGCTTTGTATTAGATTTAGAAAGCTTTTGAGACATACGATCAACAAGGCCCCGGTCTCATTCTTGCTATTTTTTATTTTATTTTCT